GATGAAAAATCGGAAAAATTCACTCAAAAATTAAAAATTAAAAAATCATGGCCACTAGATTAATTCATTTTAATTACCAGCTTCATCCAAGTTTTTTTTAAAAATAGAGTCTCCTTTTTTATAATTTTTTTCGCATAAAAAGATCAAAAGACTATTCGCTCTAATACAGACCATACTTATGCCTAATCTTTTCCTAGGTGAGCCCACCTGGCTTTTTTTTACCGAAATAGCGTCCATTAGCGTCTAGGTCAACCAAAATTACGGTGTCATATAGCCTATTCCGTGCCAGCTTGTCACGTTTTTCTTTCCGCCAAAAAGACCGTATACCAAATTAGATCAAATTTCTGCTCTTATAACGGCAAGAAACAAAGGTCTTGAAGCGAAAGTTGGTTAAATTTGACCTGGCATTTTGGCGGAAAGAAAAACGTGACAAGCTAGCGCGGAATGGCCTATATGATAATTATGAAGTCTACATTTTAAAGTTGATCATTTTTTTTTTCGTCCTTTGTAGTACGAAAAAATAAAAAACCCTGAAATTTTTTACGATAACACGACATTAAATTTCTGAAAAAGAAGGAGAGAAATTCCTGAATTTTCCATCAATCTGGAAAAAAATACACTACTGAACTTGAATGGATCAAATAATTTTTTTCTAGATCAAATAATTCGTGTTCTACCAATTGGTGATTTTTTTGATCAAATGAGCTCTCCTGGCGTCTTTTTTTTTTTTTTTCGGTACCGGCACGGCGTTGCGCAATGGCCAGGTCATTTGGACGGGTGCAATTATGAGTGTCTTTGCTTTTTTGATCTCTTTGCATTTTTGGGATTTTTGGGAAACTTGAGATAGGATTTTTTTTTTTTTATCACAAAGTAATTTGAAGAAAGTAGATTATATTTCGTTTTCCGACGTTTTCCAACTTTTTATCGATGTCGATTAATAATATTAAGTTCGAGAATAATCAGGAGAAAATTCAAAAAAATGTGTAAAAATGATAGAATTCATTCAAAAAAATTTTTTTGATTGTCTTTATTTTTTTGATCAACTTTTTGTGTACAAATCGGAAAAAGCTTCCAAAAAAAGTCCGTTCATTTTTTTCTAACCTCAACAACTTTCATCTGAACTTTTCACATAAGATCATTGTGTTTTTATCATTTTTTAGGATCAGAATATCAGAAGGTTCCTTTTTCTATATCTTTCTTCTAGGTAATCTTCTGATCAAATGGCTCATCTGGCATTTTTTTTTGTTTTTGAGTACCGGCATGGCGCTGGGCATTGCTTACTAGGGAATGGTCTCCATTCGCAGTGGGACTTCTGAATGAGACTAGGTTCACTAGATGTAGTTTTTCACGCTGATTTCAAAACTGGTCTCAAAAACTGCCCTCGAGACCTGTGAAAAAAGTTAGGGGCTCTCAAAGTCGAAAAATTTGATGTCTACGATTGAGCTCATTTTTGGAGGGTATATAGATCTTGTCCCTCTGGTCACGAAAAATCATCGAATTTTTCTCGAAAAAATTTCGGAGCCCAGATATGAACTTTCAAAGGCCCGCCTAACACAAGAGCATGCGGGCGCGGTGTCCTATCGCGATCCGACGGCTGTCGAAGCACCCTCCAAAAATGAGCTCAATCGGAGACATCAAATTTTTCGACTTTGAGAACCCCTAACTTTTTTCACAGGTCTCGAGGGCAGTTTTTGAGACCAGATTTGAAATCAGCGTAAAAAACTACATCTAGTGAACCTAGTCTCATTCAGAAGTCCCACTGCGAATAGAGACCATTCCCTAGTTAGGTCATTTGAAGGTCGATTAAAGATCAAATCTGTTCTCTGATTGGTCTCGCATGCTGAGCAGGTGTCTCATCGGGTGTACCCGTATTAAACCCGTATTTCTGAGGTTATTTTAGTCTCAGTTGGGCTAAAACGGGGGAACAACGGGTGTAAGAAAAATATGTAACCCAGGTGTACTAAAGCGGGGTCTCAGTTGGGCTAAAAATTGCCAAAAGTTCTATCAGCTGGGCTTATTCGGGTTTAATACGGGGGGCACCCGCGGAAACCCCATTTTAGCACGGCTGGGTTACCCTGCTCAGCATGCGAGGTTATCCTGTATTTTCGAGGCTGAAAACTTGAGGAAAATTATTTTCTTTTCTTCTCTATGAAGCCGTGTTCACGGCGATCTCATAAATGGAGCGTTGTTTGTTTGAATTCGTTCCTCCAACTTTGCAAAGTATGAATTTCGGGGGCCGTTACGATATATCGAAATATGGCGAATTTGAAAATTCTGGTTAAAAATTGCCCAAGTAACTCCAAATTCGGATTTTGACGCGTAAAAGTCCCAATCCCAAATTTTTTCCCCTTTTTTTGAAGCTAGGATTCATAGAGGACATTCATTCTAAGCATGGACGTTGGTAAAAGGTCACTCTTTCAATATTTTTTGGATCTATTTATTCTTAATCTTTATTATTTTTCATTCGAATGATGGATCAAACTCAAAGAGTGCCTTTCATTACGAACAGTTCAACCCAACAAATCCATTTTGTGAGTTCTGAACTTCTGATCATAAGCCCAGCTGGCATCCTTTCAATCAATGAATCATCTGAATCATGAGTTCCACGCCGACTTAAAAAAAAATTATAAGTTTCCGTAATTTTCTCGCATCCGATGATCGGAGGGTTCTTCTTTCCCATATAACCATTTTCTGAACGATAAGCCCGTTTGGCATCTTTCCAATAAATTATATGGCGTCCAGTGGCGACTAGGTCAACTGTAGGAGGTCTTAGTGAGCTCAGATCTAAGGGGACGCTGGCTCAGCCAGAGGTCCGAGGTCAGACTTGCCGTCTGCCGCGGCTCTTATCGCTCCGACCTGTTCTTTTTTTGCGATTTTCGCTTAGCTCTAGTTTTCTTGTCTCACAGAACCGCCGTATATCTTTCTCAAGCCTTAGTATCTATCTAAATACATTTTCAAGCCTTATCGAGGCCTTTTTTTAGAGCCTTCAACAGCTTTGAATACTGTTCGGTGGCAAGTCTCTCCATCAGAACCGTTCTTTCTTTCTTTTTTTAGTCTTTTTACTTTCTTTTCGCTATCCTCTTTTTACATTTCTATCAGTCCTTCTTCCTGATAGTCTTAGAAAAAAAGGAAGGTTCCTTTTAAATGCTGTCCGGCCGTATTTTTCTTCTCTCTCTATTTCAGACGTTCGCTTTTTTTGCGACTTCTTGTTACCTTCTTGATATTCCTTCTTTCTCTTTAGTCTCATTCAACTTTATACACTTCTTAAAGGCTTTAGAATCAACCTGGATACCTTTTGAACCCTATTTAGACTTTTTTTAATTCTATAAATAAACTCAGTTCAGTCTTTTTGCTGTCTGTACAGATATTTTTGTTGTTCAGACTTGTTCTATCTTTCTTTCTTTATGTCTTTTGGCTTTTTATTATCTTTTTGCTAACCTCGATTCGCCTAGCCGGTGTTCCAATTTTGATTATAATCTCAAAAAAAGCCAAAAAAAATTTCTGTGCTCCTGAGCAGTCTCAGAATCTATCTAAACGCCTCTTCGACTTTCTGAAGCCTTTTCAGATTTGTTTTGAAGATTACTGTAGTAACTAGACGGTTACAACACGCTTCCAAATGAGATTAATTCTAATATTAGCCCTATTTTTCGTTTTTTTTTTTCGGGTAGGGTCGAATCTGCGAGCTCTGTAGGATAGTTTGCCGCACAACTGACTGCGCTACGGCCGTCGCGTCTCTATCCTTTATGGCCTCATTTCAACTCTTAAAACTTCTGATCAACTTTGGATGCTCTTGTAGGCTTTTTTTCATTAATTATCAAAACACTTTTTTTAATATTTACAAAGTCCTCGATTCATTTAACTTTTTGAACTCTAACCTTTAAATTTTTACAACACTTTCTTTGAATCCGATGAAGCTGTTTTTCAATATTTGAAGTTTTGAAAAAGTTCAAAAAAATCAAAAATTTGGCGGCTCAAACCCTTTTTATTTAAACTTTCAATCGGAATATAATGTAAGCGAAAAAGTTTTAAATATGATTTGATAGTATTCTTCGTCGAGTGAGAAAAAATTCAGGTTCAATAAAGTTTTTTTTTAATGAATTTTCGCTTCTCGAAAATTAAACGAAACTGTTCATATTATGAATAAGTATGTACTTCAGATATATTCACATCTAAATAATGTCTAATGACGCTTTTCTTAAACTTCGAAAACTTTATGGCCATTATAAAAAAACGACCGACTTTTCAAGCACGTCATGAAATAATAAGTCAAAATAACGTTGCCGTTTCTGACCAAGATTAAATTTTTTTTTAATCTCATCCTTTTATTCTCTCCGATTTGCTGGATGTAAAGTTCCCTGTTTTTTTTTATGATATTTTCTTTGCAATGTATTGAAATCTTTAATATGTTCAAAGCCTCGTCTCAATTTTGACCCTTTTTCTCAGACCTCCGTAACGAAAACCGGACGTTTCTGAGCATTTCTAGGGATCACTTAAGAGTGCTGACGCTATTAAAGAGGCCACTAGATTACTGATTTCCGAGTTATAATGATCTAACTGGGGAGGTTATTTTACTTTGCGATTCTTGAAAATTGGCCAGAAGTGTTTTTGATGTTTCAGATGAAAGATCCTAGAAGTCTCAACTTTCCCAACTTTCTAGTTTTCAAGAAATCAGGGCTCAAAGCCTCAAAATAACACATTTATATGGATTTTGAGAGTTTCCTTTGACTTTTGAGGCGTCTTTTTTCAAAAACGAGGAAGTTGTGCAGGTTGAGACTTTCAGAATATTTTTCTGGTACATCAAGGAGCGTTCTGGCCAGTTTTTCAGGAAAATCCCAACCGCAAAGTAAAAATGACCTCCCTTGTTAGGATTCCTAGCTAAATATTTCCTGTTTTCTCTTTTTTCCATTCATTGACACCGTGTTTTCCCTTCAAAAATAGTCTCTTCTCGGTAAAAATATTCAATTTTTAGAATTCTTTCCGCTTTCAACAAAGCTTTCGAGATGCTGACGCCATACATGAACGAGTTCTGCGAGGCTAAGATGGACAAGCTTGTAAGTTCTTTCGAAGTTTGATCCTGATTAAACGATAATTTTTCCAGGCAGTGCAACAGGACGAGTTGAACAGAGACGCCCTGTTTCTGAATGGAGAGAGGATCACAACTCTCGAAAATCTCACGGAACGTCAAAAGAAGGAGATGGAAGAGCTGAAACAGACGTTGAACAAGCTCGTCAGTGCTCAGGTCAGGAGTTTGAGAACTCTTTGAAAAAAATCTTTCTGGTCGCATCTAGATTGGATAGGGTCGCGTTCTGGTTAAAATAAGATGTTCTTAACTTACTTTAGGTATCGGGTTTTCTTTTTTTTTGGGCTAGAGCTTTTAGTCAATCGCTTGAACTTTTTTGAGAAGTTCAGAATCACTTATTCCCATTCAGAAGTTATGAAATTCCAATGCCACGAATCTAAGTCCTTAATGATTACCATTTTTCCAGGAAGAGAAAGAGAGACGACACAATGGCGAATTTGGGGAGTATGAAGTAATGGAGTTTCCAAAAAGAAACCGTCATGGTCGCCTGCTCTTGTTCGGAAAGCTTCGATAAGCTGAACAGCAGCTTGAGCACGCATTCAAGCTTCGAAGACGTCACGGTGCTCACCGAAGGCGTCAGGCAGATGACGTCATCCGAATGCATCAAGAAACCTACCTACGCCGAGTCCTATCTGGGCGAGTTGCGTTATAGCTACCCCGAAGGCGTCGTTGAAGAGGTCAGGCCGAGCTCTCCAGAAGACCTCGCCGCCACGACGAAGAAACTGGCCGAGATCTTCGGCATCGAGCCATCTGAAGTCGCCATGCCGCCAAAGAAGACCTACTCTGATGGCTTCGACAGGAAAAGCATTGCCGAGCTTTTCGGCCTGCCTTACACTGAAGACGTCCCAACGCCGAGCTTCATCGAAGAGACGCCGACGTTGGAGAAAGTGGAAGAAGTCTCGAAGCTGAATCAGAGCGTCGAAGAAGGATACGTCAACAAGGAGGAGACGTCAGAAGAGAGGTCTCAAGCTGCCCGACGCCCAGCAGTTCGCTACTCCGACAAGTTTATCCTAATCCTCGTTTTCGGATTAGTCTTCACCCACATCTCTCAGTTCGTAGGCTTTCTATCTCCTTACTTTGCAATTTTCTTTAATAGTGTTCTATATGTGTTCTCGGAAGTTTGCCAATTCTGCTCTAAGAATCGAACCTCCACGTTTCTCTTCGGTATCGCTACCGCAGCCGTATTTTATCCTTTGCACGTCATAGCGATTCTTTATGTTGAAATTATACTTAAATTAATCTGGTGCCTTTGGCCTGGTCTTTGGTACAATTTCGATATGTGTGAGTAATCGTGAACCCTAGACAATCCTTTATTTTTTAGGTTTCTTTCAAAAATTATAAAAAAATTATAAAAAAATTTAAAATGAAAAAAATCCAAAAAGAATACTTGACCGCGACGCGTGCCTTCTTGAGTCGTTTTTTTGTATATTTCTTTTTTTTTCATGTTGTCGCTTCTCATGTCTTTCTGTTTTTTGTGCTTGACAATTAACCTACCTCAATGTATAGTTTCTTTTTTTGCTGTTTTTAATCATCGAACTCTTTTTTTTTTCAGTTTTCTGACCTTTTTCGTTACTTTTCTCGTGTTAAAATATCCATTTTTTTGTCGCCTGTCCTGATAATTGAACTACCATTATTTACAGTTCAAATATACCATTTTTATTTGATTTTTTTCTGTATTATTTCAATACATTTTGTGAGTGTTCGTGTTATTTTTGATCGTTCAGAATAAATTTGTTGATGGATATTATCTTTTTTTCAATTCATCAAAAGTTTGGAGAAGGAAAAAAATAGCTGACCAGAAGAGAAACGTGAGAAACACTTTACAATGAAATGAAGCAACTTTTTAGCCTACGGAAAAAATTTTTTATGTCCCTTTAACAAATAAAAAACTGCAAGTAACAGAAAAACACAAAAAAAATATTTCTGTTAAATATTTTTATTCAAAACGATAAAAATAAGGGGAAATTACACTTAGAACACACATAGTTACAGAAAAAGGTCAAGAATATCCGTAATAATTTCTCGATTCAACTGGATTGAGCCGCAGTTTCTGGTTTGGCATATTTTTTGATTTGACGGCTCTCGTAGAGCAGAATGTAGGCCGTGTGCCAGTCGCCGCCGCCCGACGTCTTCAGGACCTGAAAAATTGATTCTTTTTTTTTTTTGGAAAAATCAGAAGAAGTCAGGCAAATGAAGGAAAGTCTTTAAAAAAAGTTTTGAAGGGTTATGAAAAATATCTTTTCGCATCTTTTAAACCATGTGGGTTTTCAAAAAGTTCAAAAAAGCTGATCTCTAGACTTCTGAAAGCCAAGGCTACGAAAAGCTTGAGGAAAAAAAACCGAGCAAAGTTTAAAAGTGACTAAACAGGAATTTTTAAAAAATGACGTCTTCTAGCGCCTTTTCATGATTTTTAATCGGGAAGGTCCTTTTAAAGGAGATAAAAAAAATCGATAAGCTCCAGGGAAGGTAGAAAAAAAGAAAAGGCCCTCAAAAATTTCAGAAAAGTTCCAGAAGGAAAGAATACTCTGTCAAAAAAAAAAAAATCATATAAAGGATTTTTAAAAATGTGGAAAAACATAGGAGAAGTCGACAGTGTGGAAAAAGGCTCCATAGAATTGTTCCTTTTTTGCTGCCTTTTTGGGTCATTTTCTCGGCCCTTATGCACCATTTTTGCTGCCTCTCCCCTTTTCCACCATTTCTTGAGCCTTTGAAATCCCAGGAAAAACAGAAGGCTCGATAAAGGGACCCACTTTGCGGCCTTTTTCGAGCCTCTCCCTTTTAGAGGCCATTATCCATCATTCCTACTTTGCCCGAGAAATTTCTGTTTTCGAAAAGTCGACGCCTACATCTTCAGCGGTACAGAAGGAGATGTTCTCGTCGTCGCAGAGGACCCATTGGTCGCGGATTCTGACCCAAGCGACGTAATGGCCCGATTTGACGGAACGGCCTTTGTGGGTGACGACAGCCTTGAAAAACATATTTGTAAGATCTCACTGTTCTGGCTTCTCAGAACCAAAAATGGTTCAATTGCCCATTTTAAACTAAATCTTTCCGTTCAACTTTCTACTCCCTAGGGAACGTTTTCAAGCCCCGGTTGAGTTTGATGAACTTTTTCTGAAGTTTTAAGACCTTCTGATTCCAGAACAAGGAAAAAATTTTTCTTTTCCGATTTTTAAAGCTTCAAAGGTCACACAAATTATGACAAAAAGAGCTTTTTTAAGCTTTTGAAACGTTAGAACTCGAAAACCAGATTCACTGCGAAAAAAATTTTTTTTTTCTGAATCAGGAGGAATCAGAAAAGTCGTATCAAAAATCATTTAAAAGAAAGGAGAGGAAAGAATCAAAGAATCAGAGTTTTCAGAAATTTACAGTCCATTTGAAGTTAGCTTCATATGAGAAAAATAAAACGACGTCTGAATCTCCATAATTTTTCCTTAACCCTATAGAAGACCTTACTAAAATCTCTTAAGCCAGCCAAGAAATCCGCCAAAAACCTTGGAAATGTGAAATCCTAGTGGACTAATATTCAGAAACCCAGTAAATCAGAAAAAGGCCCGTTTTTTTTTGTGTAAAAACCCCATATTTCATTAACTTCTTTAATAATACCCTGAAAACCACCTTCAAATCGTAGAATCCCGAATTGTTGCTCCCGACATCGTCCGGGAACTCGGTCGGCAGCAAGACGCCATCATCTTTCAATTTCTAAACGATTCAAAATTGACAAAAAATCAAAATGAATATTCAATATACAAAACTGTGAAAAGCTTCGGGGCGAAACCAGAAAAACTTTAAAATCATCCAAATTCTTTAAAGAACGTCTCTTTTTTATTTAATGCGTAAACGGTTTTTTCACTAGAGCGCAAATGTCATAATATTATGATTTTTGGCAATTTCGAACCTTTCAATCCATCAAAAATTGCGAAGAAAATATTTAAGGAAAACGATTTTCACCCGAAATTTTAACTATTAATCTCCCCGAATGCCCTGAAAAAAGGCAGAAAACTGTATAATCATCAAATTTCGAAATTAGAGCGTAAAATGTCATGATATTAAGGATTTTCGGGAACCTCAAGAAGAAAAAATTCGAAAAAATTGACTTTCACCTTTTAAGTGATCTGTCTGGGAAAATTTTCAGTGGCCCCTATAGCGGTCAAATTAGTGACCACTTAAGTGGTTAAGAATTAATGGCTACTATAGAGGTCTACGTGCTACTACTAGACTACTAAAAATTCTAGTGGCCACTTTAGGGGTCCATGGATCATCATAACTGGTCCAATCTGTTGGTTTTAAAGTTATCAGAGTTACTGGAAGGAACACTGGATCTAAAACTACTGAAGTGGCCACTAAAATGGAAAATAATGGTCACTATAGAGTTGGATATAGTGGCCCCTTTAGTGTCCTCCCCAAGTAGTCTTTGGCGAGCCTCTATAGTGGCCTATAAAAATTTTCAGAGATCTTCAAAAAACGGCGAAATCATCAAAACTCGGAAAAGAACGTCCATACGCAAAATTTCATGATATTAATGATTTTTGGCAATTTTGAACCTCTTAACCCATGAAGGAAATATTCAAAAAATCGATTTTCCCCTCAAATTTCAACTAATACTCTTCCTGAACACCTAGAACTTCATAGGAATTCAATTTTCCTTGGAAAGAATAAATATTTATTCACCGCGGCCTCATCCTTGTCCATCATTTTCTTCTTGCTCTCGATTTCGATCAACGCATCGTCTTGCTCCTGATAAAATTATCATTTATTTCTTCATACTGGTTCGAAATTCACTTTAATCGCAGCTCTCATTGGGCGGAGCTTATTCTGAAGTTCCGGCGAGCAAAAGTCGAAGACGTCGAGAACCAATGGGAACTTGACGTCCTTCAGGATCTTGGCAGTCGTCTGGAAACGTCTTTTTTTCTTGGAGATCTCAAATTTTAGCTAAGGACGTATGGAATAAAATAGAAAATGATTCCCTCGATTTTCCTCAAGCTCAAAAATGACTTCAGTTAGGAACTTGCTTTTCTTTATCTAAATTTTCTTATAACGCCGTAATAAATCAGAAAAAATCAAAATTAATGTGTTTGTAGCAATTTCCAAGCCTTACAACCTCTATAGGGGCCGAAAAATTAAACTTGAAAAGGGGTAAAATAAAGGTGGTCTCTATAGGGGTTTAGGATCTGACCCCTAAGCCCCTTAAGGCTCAAGTGGACCCTATAGGAGTCTTTCAATTCCATTCAAAAACGCGTATTTATTCTGTTTTTCCGAAGGAAATGCTTCTTCTTCGCTTAGAGTTCATAACAATTATCGAAAAGCATGTCCCTAAAGGGATCACTTTCGAGAGCTTTAGTGGCCCCTATAGGAGTTGGCAAGGTTGCCCCTAAAGGAACCACAATGGAGTTCCTAAGTACGAAGCATTTTTGACTCAGATATACCGGAATAGTGAAAAATTTCGTTCGAGTTCAATTGATATCATTTAAAAATAACTAAAGAGACCTTTTCGCGTGCTCTTTCAAACCAGACATGATAGGCCAAAAAAAAAATCCAGAGCTTTTTTATACAAACAAAAATTGAAGTTCTTCTATCATGAATCTTGAAGAGATTTCATTTTTTAAAAGTTCAGTTTTGGAAAATTCACCAAAAGTCTTTTTTTACTGGTTGTTTGTAGTAAGGGAAACGAGGAGCTTCGATGCCTCAGGAAATACAATGACGTCATTCGAAAACGCTCTGTGATTTACTCGCTTTCTGACCGGATGTTGCGCCATTAGGGGCGGAGCTTAAGCGACAACTTGAAATTCAAAATTTGAACAGACCATGGAAGAGCTTCTACTTTTTGCTTTTGCAGAATATCTCACTTTTTTTAAAATTTTTATTAAATTTCTTGCGTGAAAAGAGTAGACATCTTTCATTGGATTTTTAGGCAAAAAAACCCGAAAATTTTCTTTTTCCAGTGCAAAAACCTGAATAGCTTCCTTATAAAAGAAGCGGACGATCTGAATGGGCAGGTACATGGGAAGTCTCGTGATGAGCTCCGTTTTGAGCCATTTCACGTCCCTTCCAAGCGTCGGACTGTTCTTCGAAATCTCCGTTTTCAGGCCATTTTTGATGCCCGTCTGGATGTACTTGACTTCCTGGCTCAGGAAACAGGAAAGCTGAATTTTTGATGTTCAATTTTTCAAAGGCAAGTAGTTTTACTTGATAAAAATCCTCGTTTGAGGTGATGGAAGGCTCGGTTTCGGATTCCAAACACTTCATTTCCGTGGAAAAAACGCCTTTGAAGTAACAACGAGGCTTTTTTCCCGGCTCTGAATGGGGAGATTGTTGAATTTTTATACCAAAAAAAAATCGAAAAAAAGTAATAGCACTTTGGAAAAAAAATAGCCGTAGAAAATGTGCAATTTTATTTTTATTTTTTTCTGGATTTTTGAGGCTTTTTATTATTTTTTTGTATATAGTTTGGACTGATTCCTTGTTCGGCTTTTATTTTTTTATGCATTAATTGAAGCTCAGAATTTTTTTGATGGATTTTTCAAAAAGTCTTCCTACGTTTTGCCGTAGACTTCCGTAGCAGGTGAAAAAGATTTCATTCGAAAATTTCTTTGCATATTTTTTGCCCTGAGAGCTAAAAAAAACTACTAGAAAGTTCTAAAGTGCAGCAAAAGCTCAGAGCAACAACTATAGGTTGGAGTGAATGTTTTCGAATAATTACAAGGCGAAAAGGAACACTTTTCTTTTTTTTTCGAGGTTTTGGAAGGCCCATTCATTTTCTCTATCATAATTCTTCATTCGAAACGTTTTGAAATGCAAATTCTGACGATTCTTCATATTATCTACGGAGTTCCATCGCTACTTCTGATGATTTTGATTTTTTTCCTGCTATTTACGAAAAAATTCAAGTACTCTTTCTATCGGATCGTTCAGTGTGACTTGGCTATGGTAATTTATAATTTTTTCTCACAGAGGGAATTTTTTAAGGCCTAAATTTTGTCGTAACTTGGTTGGAAGGTACTTTAAAAATTTTTGATTTTGAATAAAAGGTTTAATTCTGCTTCATAGTCGAGTTATGACCGAAAAGCTTCGATTTATTCCATAATTTTTGTTTTTGCGGGCCATTTAGCATTAAAAATCAAGTCAAAAGTCGAAAAATTCCTTCTTTTTCCGTCAACAAAAAGCACTATAACACTCTAGCAAAGTTCCAGTTAAAAAAAACTCATTTTTCAGAACATACTATGTTTCCTGAACGTTTGGTTCTCGATAAAGATAATGCGGGAAAAAATCGGGAGAGACCTTTTATTTTATATTTTGGACAATGCTTATTATGTCTTGCCGGTGACTCAAACAGCGAATATTTGGTAAAAAAAATTATTTTTTTTTATTATAAAAATGATTAAGGTTCGGTCAGGCTCAAAATATCAGTTCTATTCTTATCAGTATTCATCGGCTAACTACAGCTTTATTATTCCAATCAAATCAGGTTCGTAGTGAAATTTTGGCAAAAATCACTAATAAATTAAAACAATTCTGTCATCTTTTTAGAAATTCAAAATGAATTATTTCGAGAAAAATTTAAAAAAAGATTTCTCTATTTCTCTGGCGTCTCTTTAGACTATAGTTGATCTATAACTTTTTTCTTTCCTCTCTAAAACTTGCAATTCTAACTTAGGAACTCCGGAATGGTTTCTATAGGGGCAACCTTGGAGGGTCAACTCTAGGGGCCACTATAGATTGCAAAAGAGGTCACTATAGGGGTTTTAGTAAATCCTATGATTTTTCTTCAACTCAAAAATGTTCAGTTCTGGAAAAAGTTCGCAATTCCCGTCTACCTGGCTTCAATGCTTCTATGCTTCATCGGGATCAGCCCACTTTTCTATTATGGAAAATTTCATGCTGGGCTCAGTTATAAGGATGGAATTTGGACGCAGTACTCAAATAAAGTAAGGCGAAATTTGAAAAAATGTCAAAAAACTTTTTTTTTAGGAAGTAGCTGATGCTCTCAATGCGATTGTGTTCATCTCCAGCCTTTTATATTTTTTCGTTAACATTCTTTTGTGCTTTATCAACCTCTTCACAATGTCAAGGCTCCTAGAAGGTGACTCTAACAAAGGTCCCCGGGTCGAACCCTCGGCGCACCCCGCAGTGTAACCAGGGGTGCACCCCGTATAATATTTCAAAGTGGTTACTTTCCCAATATCACCATTTTCTACAGTTCCATCCTAGGCTGTTACGGTAGCTAAAAAAAAAACGTTTTATTCCGACTGGTCGCCCCAGGAATGCACGCCATCCAGGTCCAACGCGGGGTGCACCGAAAAAATCAACGAAAAGTTCATCTTTTTCGGGATTCTGCTGTTCTGAGGTGTACCCCGCAGTGAACCCCGAAAAAAGTGAACTTTTCGTGAACTTTCTCGGTGCACCGCGCGTTGGACCTGAATGGGGTGAACCCCTGGTGCACCCAGTCGAAAATAAAAATCTTATTTTGAGCTACCGTAACAGCTTAGGATGAAACTGCAGACAATGGTGATATTGAGAAACGAACCACTCCGATATCGTGTACGGAAATATTTTTTTTAACAGGTATTAAAAGTTAAATGGGGTGCACCCCTGGTTACACTGCGGGGTGAGACGAGAGTTCGACACGGGGTGCACCACAACTTTTGTTAGAGTGCTGCTCTAAGGTGTACCCCGCAGTGAACCCCAAAAAAAGTGGAATTATCGTGAATTCTCTTGGTGTTGGACCAGGAAGGGGTGCACCCCTGTGGGGGAACCGGTTGAAAAAGTTCTTTTCGACAAGTTGAAATGAGTGGCTTTTCAAGGGCTATTTTATGATTAGAACCAAGTTTGGAGTTCAAAACTTCAAGAATAATCACTTTTTCCTTAATTTTAGGTTACGATTCCGCGGATACAACGAAAAGAATGACAAAAATCGCTCTGACGCAAACTTTGATTCATTTTGGAATACTGGCATTTACCGTAACGCTTTCCCTTTTCAGCGAAAAATGATAATAATTTTCTAGATTTTGATTGGAATGCGAAACTTTTTGGGGATCCGACTGATTTCTGACGAAATCATGTTCGTGGTTCAGGCTTTTTCTAACCGATACGGTGAGGATCCTAAGATTTTATTTTTTTAATATTGAATTATTTTTTTATAATAAATTTTGTTCTTTGACTGCATTTCTACAGATTAAAAAGGAAAAAAATAAGCCTATAAAAAAAGTTTATTTTTTTGATATCAAAAATGGGATTTCAACGTTATGCCGTGTTCAAATTCCGCGAATTTCAAAATATCCGTCAGAGAAAGAAAAAGATAACTAAGTTTAGGAGAGTCAGAGATAATTTTGCATTTCGCGAAAATCACTTTGAACACGGCATTATAAATTTTCTGAACACTGTTCAAAAATACAAAAATTAAAATCCAGGTATCATTAATTAACAAATTTTTCAGGTAAGCTTGTCAATGCCGTATATTTTAATCGCTCACGATTCAAATTTACGAAGATTTCTAACCCGAGGAAGTGATGTACATTCTGTTCAATGTGAGTTTTTATCTTAGTTTAAAAATCAATCAATATATTTTTTTCAACGCTTCAAAAACCACTAAGAAAACATTTTTCCCCTAGAAATTACAAAACTTGAAAGTCTATAAACCCAATTTTTTCCATTGAATTTTTTTGAACTCAAACTTTTTTTCAGTGAACGTCCGAAACTCGCAGCCGCCAACCTGACTGCCACAAAAAAATAACTTTTTCTCGATTTTTCTGTATTTTTTTGTAAATTTAACCAATGAATTGAGAATGAATACTTATTTAAAAAAATTATTTTATGAAAATCATGGAAATTTCCATCATCTCACAAAAAAATTGATTTTTTTCATCGAAAAAAAACGTTTTTTTGGTTTACCAAAAAAATTTCCAAGGCCTTTCTTGCCAAAGTTTGTTTCAAAAATATTCATAATTATTTTTTTATCGCCTTCCCTTTTTTTGGTCTAGGAATTTTTTTGAGGCCCTTTTCGAAGGTTTTTTTCTTAATTTTTCAAACTTTCAAATAATTTTATTTTTTTATTGATGGACTTATTTTTTTCAGCTACCTTCAAGCGCAGCTATTCTCCAAAAAAACTATGTTATTTTTTTGAACGATTTCCTATCAGGATCTTTAACTTCATAAAAAGCTCATCAATCAGCAAAAAAATGACAATTTTTTTCAACCAAGAAGTTTTTCAAATTTTGCCTAACTGCTTTTTTTTTTACTAATCGGCTATTTTCTCATTTTTTTCACTTCTGAACGCGGCACTTTTTTCAAATCCTAGGTGATTTTTCTACCAGAACCTCTAACATTTAAAAATTCTCTTTAAAACGGAAAATAAAATCAGAATTTCAAAACCAAAGGGATCTTTTTCGAAATTCCCCCTAATCGATAATTTCTCATCTAAATTTAGTTTCGGCTCTTTTTCCATAGGCTTTCTTTTCTGATTTTACCAGGATTGCCGTCCGTGACGCGCAGCATTTTCTCCAAAAGCGCCATGAAAACTTCGTTGGCGTCCTGTTGCTGCGGGCCGTTTGCGTCGACGGATGCGAATTGCGGATATTCGGTCATCAAGTTCTGGAAAAACGTGTTTTTTGAGTCCATATTCGATTCAACTGTTCTATATTCGAAAATTTGAGGAAAAATTCGAGAGAAAATCGAGAAAATTGGCTATTTTGGGGCTTTTAGAGCTCTCCAAACGATCTGATGAAAGTTTCCATGAAGTTTTGAGAAAAATTTTAAAAAACTTAAGAGTTCTGCAAAATTTACGTAAAACACAGCCATTTCAAAAAAACATGCGACAACTCGCGATAAATCGGGAAAAAAAAATTCGCTAAAAATCATGAAAAATTAATATTTTCGCGCTTTTTAGAGCTTTCAAAAATCCGGTCAAAACTTTCACAAATTTTCTAGTTTCCCTTAAAATTTTTTTTCCAATTCATTACGAACATTGAGAAGCATATAAGGCGCAGCGCAGGTCAAGCGGGTCAATCCGTCGATTTCCTTGAACGTCTTGAAAACTTGGAACATCATCTGATCCCGGGCGACGTGAGGCGTGGCGATGCCCCGGCGGAGTTCCGGGAGTCTCTGAAAAAAGTTCCGATGATCCAGATTACACTGGAACTGGGAGGTTGAATTTTGGAATGATCAACTTTTAGCTGCGTTTTGGCCAGCGTTATTCTTTTGGGAGCTGCATTTTGGTCTGCCTAATATTTTTGGGAGCTGCATTTTGGTCTGTCTAATATTTTTGGGAGCTGCATTTTTATCTTCTTGATCATAAGACCTGCATTTTTGAGCCAAAAGTTCAAGACATGGTTGAAAAAATCAACACACGATACAATTTTTGAGAGACGTAAAATTATTTTCTTTCAAGTACGCTCCATCGCACAGTTATTTTGATAAGTTCTAAGACTGGCGAAGCCAAAATATTCAAATCAATCTTCTTTTATGATATTTTTTCGATTATTCTCCACATTTTTTTATTAAATTCCAATTCACAATTTTTCAATTCACCGACCAGATTCTTAAACAATCCCTAAAAGCTTCTATTTCGTGGAAACAGCTTTGAATAACCAGGAAATTTTAAAGAATATATATTTTAAAGCTTTTCCTTCTAATAAATCATTTAAGAACCCATTTTCTCCTTCCTTACATGGAAAACTTGAAGAACCGAGTTCAGGTAGCAAGTATTGCCAAGGTTGTTGCAACCGAGAGGAAGAATTATTCTCTTGGCTTCTCTTGCTTTTTCCTCCGGAGTACTTATTACTTCGATCGACTCCACTGGAACTCTGGGAATCTCACCGACACTGAAAAATATCCTCTTTTTTTCATATTTCCGTGCTCCAAACCTTCCCATCAGCATAAAAGTCATGCCGGGAGTTATGGTGATCCCTTCCCATGACTCATCTCCGAATGTTATTCCCTCAAAATCAAAAATTATGCACTGAAAGCAAACACTAACACATAGAAAATTATTTTAAAAAAGAATTCACCTTTGCGATCAACTTCTGGCGCTCAGGAACAACATTGGTCAGAGAATAGAGTTTGGACTTGAAAACGATAGTCGGCTCCGAGGGGTTGACCTCAACCTCGTACTTTTCTCTACCCCACTTGACGTTCACTGGTACTAACGACATTGCCTGAAACCTTTCATACACACACACAAGAAAAAAAGGAGAAAAAAACGTTAAAAAAATTGTGAAAAATAATGACTTTCAACGTTTTGCGCGTGGGCTGGCGTGTCGGACGTCTTTTTTACGTGTGTTTGCAGAAAAATTACAGTAATAATTTAATGAAAGTTTTTTTTCTTTTCTTTTTATTTTCTGAATCCGTGTTGCTATTCTTTTTCTGAACTATTCGAATTTCTCAGATTTTTGTCATATGTGAAAAGTTTGTCGTTTTTTTTTTGAAAACGTCCAAACCAAAAAAATTGTATGTCAAAGTTTTTGATACTTTTGCAATAAGAAATTCAGAATGAAGCGAGCGTAAAATGAAGCTATTTTCATTTTTCAAATTTCTTTATCACGTTTTTCGGTTTTTTTTTAACTTTTATTTCATTAATTGAATGCGGATATTCAGTTTTTGCAATGAAATGAGAATTTCTTTTTCACTTGAATTGGAACTTTTGACAAAAAAATCAAAACTTTTTTTGCACGTTTTTTTCTGATAAACGAGTACTCTTTTTTTGTATTTTTGTTCCTCTTTTTTTCTCATTTCAATTAAACTTATTTATTCCTTCATGAATATGTTGTTAAAAATCTCTTCATTTGAGAGTCGTACGGCCGGTTTTTGACCAGGGGCTGACCACCAAAAGCCGAGAAAAGCGCCGGACGCGGCGTCTCCTCTCGCCGGTCCCATGGTGTAGTGGTTAGCACTCAGGACTTTGAATCCTGCGACCCGAGTTCGAATCTCGGTGGGACCTACTGCTTTTTGCAGAAAATGGGGACGTGGTCAGTTTGTTTTCGGGAAGGTTTTAGAGTGATCTAATAGTCGATTGAGACTGAGTTTTTTTATTTTTTTAAGGTTGTAATATCAAGTTTAAAAAGGTTTTTTTAATCAATTTTTTTAAGTTTTTTTCTAGGAAAATTTGATATCAATTTTTAGGATTTCTGTAGATTTTTTTGGTAAAGCAAGAAGTTGAAGCAAATTTCTTGAGTTTTCGGTATTTTATTTGCTTTTTTTCTTCTTTTTTTCTATACATAGTTGATTTTATAACTTCTCAAAATCATTTCCCTACAAATTCAGACCGATTTTTTTCTGTTGAAAAAAAGGTAAAAAGTGAAGAATTTTTTTATTTTTAATCAAATAAAAAGAACAATTTGTGGGTGCAGTGCAAGGTGGAAACAAAGGAATCAGTTAGAGAAGAACACGTTTGCAGGGAAAATGAAAAATACTACGTTTTAGAGTCGGGGAGCAGTCAAATCAGGACGCTCATTTGAAAAAAAACCCGGACTCAATAGGCGAACTCGGCGAGCTCGCAGCGCTTGGGCAGCTGCATGACGATGGTGCGTTTCTCGGACTTGTCCAGGTTCTGGAGCTGCTCCAGGTGCTGGGCGCTGAGGGGCTCGCGGCGGGCGACGCGCATCAGACGGCGCGATTCGGCGTCGTGCGCCGGCACGCAGATGAAGTCGACCTGGAAGATGCTCAGGTTAGTCTGTGTGTTGCTCATTTTAGCAGGCGTTTGCTCAGTTTGATCTTCTATTGCTCAGAAAAATAATAAGGGTTGACTTTTTTTAGTTTTATTACTTTTTTTCTAAGTTTAGGGCAGCTATACTTTTTTAGTGTACGGCTAGTAAATTTGACCTGGAAGATGCCCAGGTCAGCCTCGCTGTTGCTCATTTTAGCAGGCGTTTGCTCAGTTCGACCTCCTATTACCCAGAAAAGGTATGAGGCTTGACTAATTTCATTTTTCTTGAATTTTTGAAAAACTATATTTTTTGTACTGCTTATACTGTTAGTAAACATGATTGCTCAGGTCAGCCTTGTTATTGCTCATGTTAGCCATCTATCCCTCAGAAAAAGTGTTCTATAAAGAAATTTGATAAGTTGGATAAAGCTCGACTAAATCCAATCTCACTTGTCATATTTTTTTACTGCTCGTACGGCTAATAAGTTTGACCTGGAAGTTGCTCAGGTTAGCCTTTTATTGCTCATATTAACAGGCTTAACCCTGAAGTTGTTCACTCATGAGGGTTGAATGAAGCTTGACTTTGATAGATGATTTTTTCACTAAAATGACCCCTAACCTTCTGCTTGCGGGTCTCGACGGCCTTGGAAGACTCGTCGCACTCGGGCTGCTGCTCCTGCGAGAAGCAAGTGTGGTGGGGACGCTCGACGATGATCGTCTTCTGCTTGGGCTCTGCAAAAACGGCCACTTAAGGGATCCTTTAGGCATTGTTTCAAACCGTTCTCATCCTGGTTCTCCTGGTTGTCCTCCTCGCTGCTGCTGGTCTCCTCGTTGATGCGGCGGAAGTTGGACTTCTTGTTCATCGTCTCGTCGTCCATCTCGCACTCCTCGTCCTTGTAGAGGAAGCTCTTGGCGAATTCCTGGATGTCGGTCTTTTCCTCGTTGTCAGCGCCGCGGAACTCGTTCTCGTGCTGAATTTTTCAATTAGTTAAATCTAGAAGGTAATCAAAAGATACCTCGTCATCGTAGTGACCGCAGAGGCCGCACTGCTGGTTCTTGTAGAGGGCGGAAAGGTGGACTCGGGCGACGACGCCGTCGAATTGGACGGTCACGGGCTCGGTGACGATCTTGACCATCTTCTCGTTGTACCATTCGACGTTGATCTCCTTGTTGTTCTCCTGTTCCTTCTCCTCGTCGTACTCGACCTTCTTGCCGTTGACGGTGACGTGAAGACGCTCGTTCTTCAGCTCCATCTCGACCTCGTTGCCGTTGTTGATGACCTTGACGTTCTTGGCGTCACCACCCTTCTTGACCTGCTTCATGAGCACGACGAATTCGGGCTGGTTGCTGCCGCAGTCCTTGGCGAGGACGGAGTAGCAGGGAGTGATGGGAGCGCGGTAGAAGACGTCATCGAAGGTCTGGATTTCCTTGGACTTGACGACGCATTCGGCCTGCTTGGTGATCTTCTGAGCGAGCTTCTGAACGGGGTGCTGCTGACGCTGAGATCCGGAGGTGTAGTGGATCTGAGCGGTAGGCAGAGCGTAAGGAAGACGCATGTCGCGGATGGTCATGCGCTGGGAAGGAGTTTCGACGGTGAGGTTGGCGGTCTGACGGCTTCTGGGCTCAATGGTGAGCTGAGCGCGCATGCGGCCCTGGTCCTTCTCGACGGTTTCGTACTCGCTGAGCCAAATGTTTCCGTAGCGGGTCTCAACCATGGTTTGGAGGTATTCGAAGAATCGCTGGCTGGGCTTGGTCAACTCGTACTCGGCGGCGATCTGGTAGGTGTTGAGGCGGGCGGCTTCGGCGAGTTTCTCCTGCTCAGAGAGCATGTTCTGCTTGCGGTCGGCACGCTTGAGCCACTCACGCTGCTGACGGCTCTGCTGTCCTTGGACCTTGAGGGTCATCTTGTTGCTCTGGTGAGCTCCCCAGTTCATTTCGCAGAGGGCGACGAAGTCACGGTTCTTCTGCTCAGACATCTCCTGGATGGTCTTGGGCATCTGCGGGTAGAGGGTCTGGATGGTGGCTTCCAACTGCCATTGGCGGTTCTCGCCTTCAACAGCGGAACGCTGGAACTCAACTTCAGTCTTGCAGAAGCTCATGTGCTGGTTGCAGTTGGCGGTGATCAACGACTTGAAGAAGAGATCGTTGGAGTGGCCAGAGGTCTTCATTTCGAAGATGATCTTGTGCTCGATGGCCTTCTGCTTCTTCATGTTCTTGACGTACTTGGAGACGTGGGTCAGACGCTCGTCCTGGTCGTATTCGTCTTCCTCGACTTCCATGAAGCGGCTGGACTCCTTCTTCTCCCAGATTTTGTCCATCTGAGGCTCAAGAAGCTCAGAAGGTCGGAAGAGCTCGGCTTCGAAGATGGTGATGATGTCCTTGGGAGTGTTCTCGGTCGGCTCAACGACGATTTCGAGGTCGTTGTTGGCGATCAAGAGCGGCTTAGGGATGTGAGATTCAGTGGGGAAGACTGGGCGGTGGATGGATCCAGAGACGGAGACCTTGAGGCCAGACTTCTCGAAGTAGTCGCGCTGAATGTTGCTGACGAGGTACTGGCTTTTCTGAGGGAATCGGAGAGTCATCTCAGTGGGTTCAGGGTACTGACGCGATTCCTGAGACCAAACACGGACGAAGGTAACAGGGCGAGACTGGAGCTGAACAACGGAGAGCTGCTCACGGGGAACCTTGGTGGTGGTCTGGATGAAGATCTTCTTCTCCCAGTTGATGTGGACTTGAGTGTTGATGGGAGTGTCAAGGACGGCCTGGTGGAGAAGCTTGGTTCCGGCTTCGACAACTGGGCACATGATGCTCAGGCTGGTGACGTGAGTAGAAGCGACCTTAGGCTGAGCCTGAAGGTGGAAACGGAGGCCGTTGATCTTCTTGCCGTTCTTGGGCTCAATCTCGAACTTGACGTTGCCGTTGATGGTGGAAACGGTGGGCATCTTGCTGGAGAGTCTGACGGGCATACCAAGGGCAGTCGGGATGCGACGGTAAGATTCGTATCCGAAGAAGGCTCCAGAAGTAGAGAAGTGGATTCCTTGAGCGAAGATGCGCTCAATCTCTCCGATTTGGATCTTGCCACCCTGAATCATGGACTTGACCATTTCAGGGATGGTTTCAGCGTCGAAGGGGACGAAAGCGTAGTCCATTCCACGGAAGCGGACGTAGAGCATAGCCTGAGGCTCTTCGGCGTTGTGAGAGCGGCGAGAGATGCGGAGCTTCTCAAGAAGGTTGTTGAGGATTTCGGTGGGTCGGAAAGAGGTCGAGCGTTTGCCGCGGACGACAATCTCTTCGAAGCCGGTCTCCTGGACCTTGGCGATGACCTGACGGATGATCTTGTCGACGTTCTGCTGGGTGAGGCCAATCTGAGCGATGTACTCGTTCCACTCTCCGGCGAACATGCCATCGATGGAGGCCATGATGTCGTTGGGCAGGACAGACTCGTTGGTGAAGATGGCTCCCCAGTTGAAGTCGAGTCCGGTCTGGTACTTCTGGCTGTAGGCAGACCAGCTACCGTAGCGGCTGTCGGCAAGACGGAGCTGCTGTTCGGGGACAGCGGCCAAGATTCGCTCAACAAGGGCGGAGAAGGTCTTCTGGCACGGCGACTGGTTGTCGGCGAAGGACTGGAGCATGGAGATGGTGAAGGAGCGGACCTGCTGGCTGCGTTCCTGCTTGATCTGGTCGGCGACCTGGGAGAGGACGGCGATTTCAGGCTTGCTGCGGAGGATCTGGTTGAGGGCCGACATGCGGACCTGAACGGGCTGCTGACGGCTTTTGTAGATGGGCATGAGAAGCTGCTGGATCTTGCGCGGCATGACGACGTTCAAGAGGCGGAGAGCTTCGATGGCCTGAACGCGGATGGTCTTCTCCTCGGTCTGGTCGTAGATGATCTTCTCGAGTTCAACGACGGAGACGTCGAGGCCAGCGTTGGCGATGGACTTGAGAGCCAGGGTCTTTTCGTAGTTGGTGGAGGCAGACTTGAAGTTCTCGATCAGCTGACGGACGACCTTCAGCTTGAAGTCACGAGGGCACATCTTCTTGGTGTCACGCTCGGCGAAGCGGATGTGTTCCTGGGGAACGCAGAATCCGTTGACGACCGATCCGTAGGTCAACCAGCAAGACTGGCGGAGGACTGGCGAGGAGGCAGAGGCGTCAGATTCGCAGATGCGGAGGATCTCCTCAGCGATTTCAACAGAGGGAGATCGCATGTCGACGAGCGACTTGAGGGTCTGAGCGGCCTTGACAGGCGAGATGTACTTCTGCTCCTGGATCTTCTCTCCGAGCTGGTGGATGGTGACGCGAGTTCCGGCAAGAGCCAAGCAGTTGTAGAAGATTCCGCGGAGGTGTTCGGCGGTCTTCTCGGAGAATTGCGAGCTCTGGGTGAGCTGACGGTGGACCTTGCTGACTTCCTCTTCGTTGCAGAAGCGGAGGACTTTGACGATGCGGCTGACGAAGTGAGCGGTCTCTAGGCTGACGCCTTCTTCGACCTGCTTGCCCATCTGCACGAACATCTTCTCGACCATCTCGACCTTGTTCTCCCACTTGGGAAGCTGGCGGAGGTGTTTCTCCTCACCAGTCTGGGCGAATTTCTCCTCAGCAAGCTCCCACTTGTTGTCGTAGACGAGGTGCTGGGTGCGTTCACCGCGGACGGCGGGGATTTCAGTCTCCTTCTTGCCGGCGTAGACAAGCTCGAGCTTGTTGGAGACGAAGGCGCCGAGGAGCTGCTGCTTCTCGCTGATGGGGGCGAAGAGATGCTGGGACTTGAGCTCGACCTGGTGGATGAGGAAGTTGTCGGGAGTGCCGGTGAGGTTGTAGGTGAAGACGGAGGAAGACATCTTGTCCTTGTTCAAGGTGCTGTCGCAGTCTTCGCAGATCGGAGCGAAGGTACGGCGGACTTCGGGACGCTGGGTGCATTTGTCGAAGTTGATGGACTTGGTCCACTGCTGCTCAGACTCGCGGCGCTGCTCCTGGGTGTAGAAGACCTCGCATTCGCCCTCGAGCGTACGCTCGACGCTGACGAAAGAGCGAGCCTCGTCGGATTCTTCAGAGTCGCCATGGACCTGGCTCTTCTTGAGGATGTTGACCTGGAGCATGTTGACGACGGCGCGCTTGATGTTCTCAGACCAGGTCTGATCATCGTCGGAGAATCGGATCTCGGAGATCATTCCGTGGCGGTACTGGAACTCGACAGGGAGCGAGAGCAGGTCTTGGTGCTCCTTCTCCATGGAGATCTGAAAGCATCCAGTTTAGTTCAACTCGTTAGAAAGTTGAAAAAGAAACCTTCTCGAAGGACTCGATGGGCTGAAGGGTGCGGGGCTCGCGCTTGTCCTGAGAGTTGGCGAACTGGACACGGTTGAGCTGCATGAGGAAAGTCTTGTCCGAGGTCATCTGGAGGGAGACGAGCGCCTGGACACGGGTCATGCCGTGCTGAGCCGTGGGAAGGGGCAGACCGGCCGAGAGCTGACCGTCGAACCGGTAGCGGTATTCGCGGCCGGACCGGAAGGCGCTGAAATAATTCATTTTTTTAAGTTCATTTGGCGAGGGTTGCACTGAGAAAAGGGGAAAAATAAGATCAAAAAATTCGCTCAAAAAAATCTAGCTGTCTGGGCTCTCTTTATCTCTCATCGCTCTTAAAACATTTTCTCGAGTCTTGAAGCTTCAATCCGTAAATTCTCATTAAGTTCCTTATAGTCCATTCATCGCTACTTGAAATTTCTCTGACTCTCTAAACTCTCTTTTCTCTAACCATTGTCACATTAGATACAAGAAGCTCATTCTAGAAATGGATACTGTAAGAAAAACCTCTCTTGGACGTCCTTCTGGAGGTTGTCGATGGAGCGCAGATGCTGGCTGCCGCCGCGGAGGGCGAGAGCCGCGCCCAGAAGGGCTAACAGCACGACAGACTTCATGACTGTTTCTGGAGCTCCTCTTGAGAAGATGAGCCGATCGACGGGGAACGGATGCCTTTCCACGGCTCCGGCCCGGCCTTTTATACGGTGCTTATCGCTTGGAAATTATTGAAGGGTGTCAATCGGAACCTGACTTTCTGACCAGAACCTCTCCTCCAAGTTGAGTGACACCTTTCTCCACTGATCTTTTTTCCTTTTTGATCGCACCTTGCCCTCGGTGATAAGTGTGACTTTATTGCGCTCATCGCTCGATTTTGGCCTTTTCGAGGAACTTTGAGAGGATTGGGAAATCGAAATTTGTCTTCTGGTCTAGGAATGGTTATAATTATTTCATAGAAGATTCACCTATCTGAAAAAATGTCCCGAAAACGCTCTCGGATTGATTTTTGGTCTTTTCGAGAAACTTGAAGATGTTGAGAGGGTTGGAAAATGGGACTAATTTTTATAATAGTCCTGGAAAAATACCTTGAAAGTTCTAGCTTCATTAAGAGCTGAAAAATTGAAATTTTTGAGGTTTCAGAATGTTCAAATTTTCAATAGAGATCTTCTAGAACTTTAAAAATTTAATTTTTCAAATTTTTTTCGGTTTTTTTCTCTTTTCTGAATGAACCTGAAGAGGATGTGAGTCATTATAAAAAGATACATAGTTTTGAAAGGCCTGAAAAAGTTTGAATATTTGGAAATTTCTGGACGTAGTTTTTCTGGAATTTCTACAAAAAAAGTATTTCCGTCATTTCAAACTTTTTTTAAGAAATTTATTCGAAAAAAATTTATTGAAAAAAATTGTATTTTTTTCGATGTATAAAAGAGCCATTATAGACGTAGTATATTTAGAAAAAAAGTTTAAAAAAACTCTTATTTGAAAAAAATTTCAGTCTAGTTAGAAAAAAATCCGATTTTTGAACGATGAAAGTGATTGATTCAACAGGAAACCTACTATTTTCCGATTTTTTTCAACCCTATTTCCAATATTTCCATCATTTTCGTTTCATTCCTTCTTTTTCTAAAAATTCCACTCATTTTTGTTAAAATATGTACTTTATTGCAGAAACTCGGCCGATTATGTTCCATTCCGCGTCTTTAGAACCCCGTGTCTTCGGTAGTATAGTGGTGAGTATCCGCGTCTGTCACATGCGAGACCCGGGTTCAATTCCCGGCCGGAGAGAAATTGTTTTGCTATTTAATTAAAAAAATCAGATTTTTCGCAGAAATTCAAAAGATTCTCAATGTGTACATGGAAAAGGATAACTTTAGTAGTATTTAATTTTTTTGCATAGCCTCTTTTACTTCAACTTTTTCAGTATATCTTCAAAATTAGTGAATATTCGAAATTTTTTTCAGCTGGAAAACCTGAAAACTTAGCCGTTACTTTTTTTTCTCAATGGTTCAAATGTTACAACAAGATCAAACAAGGTAGTTTTTTTCACATTTTGTGAAAATATTCTCATATACTTCTTGATTTATTGATAGAAAAGCGTTTTTACAAAAATTTATTTTCCGATAATGAAAGTCGTTTGGATTCCGTGCAGAAACCAGTACTTGGAGGGTTTCCTTTTTGGAAAAAAAAAGAAGTTTTGCTGGCTGAGACCTTCAGGATCTTCTTGAAGTACATTGACAAGGAGTGAGGTTTCAGAAAAGGTGGAAAATAAAGTTACCGTCCTTTTAAAGCCTCTTCTTAAAATTTTTTTGCTTGTTTTTTCACGCCGCTATACTTTCCCACTTCAGTCATAACGCCCAAAAAACGGCTAATAATCAAAAATGTCGCGACAAGATGAAAATGTTTGTGAGGCGTGCGGAGGGGCGCCGGACCCCCTCCAGAACTGTTTGCATTGGGGCGTAGTTGCTGGCTGCAGCAGCAGAAGAACTGCCTGTCGGTCGGCAGAGAGAGATCCGGAGAGCCGTCGGTGCCCATCCAACACACACACAAACACAAACACATCATCCATCCGCCTTATCTTGAGTTCACTTCCAATCCTCGAACTTTTGGCTCTCTTTATCGATTGCCTTGTTTTTTTCCGGAGCTTTTTTGATGAAGATTTGATCGAAATTCTTCAATTTTGGATATCACTTTTCGTAGACTATGTGGAAGCTGAGTTAGGACTTGAAAATCAGAGATTTAAAGGCGCATAGGCTTCTTTTCGGATATATTGAAGCTAAGGGTCGTTTCCAATGTTTTTCCCAATCCTCGAACTTTTTTGGAATTGGTTTTTGAGGAAAATTTTACCAGAAGGCAGGAAAAAGTAAGTAAAATCGCTTCAATTTTGGTTATCATTAATCGAAAAACTGGTGGAAGCTAAGTTAGGGCTCGAAGATCAAAGATTTAAAGGCGCATAGGCTTCTTTTTCGAATATATCTAGACTGGAAGCCGTTTTTCTTCCGATCCTCGAACTTTTGTCTTTTTTCAATCGATTGATTGATTTTCAGAATTTTTCCCATGAGGATTTGACTATAGGACTGTGAAAAGAGGGAAAGTTCTAGTTAACTGAGAAGTTTGAGCTCGTTCTATCTTTTTAGGGCTCACTTTGAATCTTCATAGCAGGTCCGAGACTTGGAAATGAAATAAATAAGGGTTTATCCGGACTTTTCAAACAGTTGTACGTTAAAAAAGCTCAAAATTTTTATCATTAAGTTTGAACCTCGAAGAAGCTCTAATACGTTTGAAAATTTATGAAATGTTCAAAAATTCGACAGGCGGACAGACAATAAGGCTGAAATAAAAAGAAGAAAAAGTTATCAAAAAAATTTAAAAATTTTTAAAAAAACTCACGGAAAGACATTTTTGAATATCTGCAAAACTTTTTAAAAATTGAAAATAAATGGATCGAAATCTTTTTATCTATACTTTTTACTTTTTTTCTTCCCCTAGGCTATATCATGCCACAGCGCACGGAGAGTGTATGGCGGCGCATAGCGCCATGACCACAAGTGTCCTCGGTAGTATAGTGGTGAGTATCCGCGTCTGTCACATGCGAGACCCGGGTTCAATTCCCGGCCGGGGAGAAATTTTTTTGCAATTTTTTATTAAGCGCTTTTATTAATAGTGAACCATTTTAAAAGCCTAAAAATGAGTTTTTAGCACTCGTTAAAGTCATTTAGTTTTTGGCAATCGAAAAAATTAAGTTTTTTTAAACAATTCATTATTTTTTCTACCATCTGCTAGTTTAATATTTTAAATGTTTAGTTTTCGTTAGTTTATTTCGAATATCCCCCTATTCCTAATTTTATTTCATTCTCAGTGATTTGAAGAGTTTTGGTAGCAGCTTTACAAACTATAGTGTGTTCAGGAACAGCTCGAGGGGCTGTTTAAAGTCGGAGGTGGATCCAAAACACTTTTTTGCACTGTTGGAACTTGTTTTTATCTTTGATGAGGGAAAATATAGCTTTTCGGAATGATTTTTGAGGTTTATATAAAAGTTCTCTTCACATGAATAAACCGTTCTAGAATAATAACTAGAGAAAAAGAAAGTTTTTTTCGAAAAATTAACAAACATTTTTTTATTTTTTTGTGTCTTCCGTTTGTACTCCAAATCAACAAGTGACAATATACCAAGCTACATAAATTTTATTCATAATTATAAGATTGATATGTAATTTCATTTTTCAGCTTTAAAAATATTTTGAATTTTTTTCAAGCTTGAAAAAAATTTTTGTAGAAATTTTTGTGTGGCCTTAGAAACGCTGAAAAAAAGGCTTTTTGGGAAAATTTTTCAAAAATTCAGCGAAAAATTTTTTGATAACTATTTGGGAGAAGCTAAATTTTCTACTAGTCATGGCTCCTTCCGTTGATCAAAAATTTTGGTTTAATATTTAAAATATCGACTAAAGTTTCACTAACACTTTCAAGTCCTTTTTAGAGGCTTTAGCGATTTTTCAGAGTCCTATAACTTTTTGAAAAAATTTTGACGTTTTTCACTCGTTTTAGCCTAAGAATAGAACTATCCAAGTAAAAACTGATCCTCCAAACTTTTCTCGCCGCAAACTGCAAGGTACCCCGGCCATCATTTATCAAAACACGACTCAAAACACTACACAAACGCGCAAAAATACACGGAGAAAGAGAGAGAGAGCGTAACTGAATCTCGGCTCCAGGCTCAAGGAACGCTTCTGCCGCGCTGCTCATCATTCTTTTCCTTCGGCTGATAGGATAGGCTTTTCGGCTTTACTACGGGGAGAAAGACCAGAGGCGTTACGCCCCGGGGGCTCGAAACTCACACTTTGTAACCTTGTCCCACTCGAGACATAATTTCTTTCCCTCCTGTTCCTCGTTTCGCCCACGGTTATTACGGTTAAGAGAAGGTTTTTTTCGAGGGTTTGATCTTGGGAAGAGATCAGGTTAGCTTTGGAGTTGATCTTGAGGAGAGTTCAGGTCATAGTAGTTCTGATTGAAGCTTGGCTTGATCTAAACCTTGGGAACATTGAAGTTTATAGTCATAATTTCTTTTCCTCCTGTTCTTCGTTTCGCCCACGGTTATTACGGTTAGAGAAGGTTTTTTTCGAGGGTTTGATCTTGGGAAGAGATCAGGTTAGCTTTGGAGTTGATCTTGAGGAGAGTTCAGGTCATAGTAGTTCTGATTGAAGCTTGGCTTGATCTAAACCTTGGGAACATTGAAGTTTATAGTCATAATTTCTTTTCCTCCTGTTCTTCGTTTCGCCCACGGTTATTACGGTTAGGAGAAGGTTTTTTTCGAGGGTTTGATCTTGGGAAGAGATCAGGTTAGCTTTGGAGTTGATCTTGAGGAGAGTTCAGGTCATAGTAGTTCTGATTGAAGCTTGGCTTGATCTAAACCTTGGGAACATTGAAGTTTATAGTCATAATTTCTTTTCCTCCTGTTCTTCGTTTCGCCCACGGTTATTACGGTTAGGAGAAGGTTTTTTTCGAGGGTTTGATCTTGGGAAGAGATCAGGTTAGCTTTGGAGTTGATCTTGAGGAGAGTTCAGGTCATAGTAGTTCTGATTGAAGCTTGGCTTGATCTAAAACCTTGGGAACATTGAAGTTTATAGTCATAATTTCTTTTTCCTCCTGTTCTTCGTTTCGCCCACGGTTATTACGGTTAGGAGAAGGTTTTTTTCGAGGGTTTGATCTTGGGAAGAGATCAGGTTAGCTTTGGAGTTGATCTTGAGGAGAGTTCAGGTCATAGTAGTTCTGATTGAAGCTTGGCTTGATCTAAACCTTGGGAACATTGAAGTTTATAGTCATAATTTCTTTTTCCTCCTGTTCTTCGTTTCGCCCACGGTTATTACGGTTAGGAGAAGGTTTTTTTCGAGGGTTTGATCTTGGGAAGAGATCAGGTTAGCTTTGGAGTTGATCTTGAGGAGAGTTCAGGTCATAGTAGTTCTGATTGAAGCTTGGCTTGATCTAAAACCTTGGGAACATTGAAGTTTATAGTCATAATTTCTTTTCCTCCTGTTCTTCGTTTCGCCCACGGTTATTACGGTTAGGAGAAGGTTTTTTTCGAGGGTTTGATCTTGGGAAGAGATCAGGTTAGCTTTGGAGTTGATCTTGAGGAGAGTTCAGGTCATAGTAGTTCTGATTGAAGCTTGGCTTGATCTGAAAACCTTGGGAAACATTGAAGTTTATAGTCATAATTACTTGCTTTATCTCGTGACTCGAAATTCGTAAATCTTGAACTTGAATTTGTAAGAAATCAGGTTATCTGTCTGTAGTTTCGTTGAGACAAATTTGATCAAAAAAATTTAGATTTTTAAAAAGGATTTTTGTCTTTTTTTATAAAATTGAGAAGTTTGAAAATCTCATATATGGTATCAATAGTTCTGATTGAAGCTTGTTTTTTTCTTGAAAAAAAAATTTTTCTAAAATTTTTCAATCATTCAATCTCAGAAGTTGATAATTTCATCTTTCTTGTTGTTTCAAAATTTAATTTTCTGTTTTTCTGAACTTGATTTCTTTGGGTCCCAGGTTTAGTTGAAGCTTGATTGTGATCAAAAAGTTGGGATTCTTAGATAATTTGGGTGTTTTTGAATTCAGAAGCTACCTGGCCATACATCAGCAGCATTTTTTGAAGTTTTCTAACAGTATGAAGTGAATAAACCTATTATTATTAAAGGCAGCCGACCCGTCCCCCCAAGTTTTTCTAAGCTGAAGCTGATAAAACCTCCCTGAGGCTGCAACTTGTTTATTGTAGCCAAAAACTTGATTTTATCCACTAATTCTCCAAAATTGGGCTGAATGAGTTCCGTACTTGTCCATCTATGTTTTAGTTTGACTGAAAAACTTGAGAAATTTTGAAAGTTTATAATTTTTTATGTTCCTCGTTCCGCCCACGGTTATTACGGTTGAGAGAATTTTTTTTTCTCGGGTTTGATCTCTCTGAGAGATCACGTTCATACACTTTAGTTTGGTTGAAGCTTGACTAGATTTTTTTCTTTTTGGATAGGTTAAAAAAAGTTAGTTCCTGCTGGAAGGTGGTCTTTCTGAAAGATCAGGTTGAGCTTCAGTCGTTTGAAAGTTTGTGATTTTTTAAGTGAATTTAAATTTTGAAATTTGAAATTTATAACGAGCTAGAGCCTCTGGTTTCAGCCGGTATCTGAAAATTTAGTTAAATTTCATGTTTTTTATCGAATAACTAGAAAAATTACGGTAGTTCTCTTCTCCGTGTGTTAGTGTTTTCACTTTGTGGAATTTTTTGTTTTTTCAAAATATTTTATTTGAGCTTTTACTGGGAAAACTTTTAGTGGCCACTATAGAGACTCGGCAAAGACTACTTGGAGAGGAAACTAAAGTGGCCACTAGACTCACCTCTATAGAGGCCACTATTTTCCATTTTAGTGGCCACTCCAGTAGTTTTTCTTCGAGTATTCCTTCCAGTAACTCTGATAATTTCAAAACAAACAGATTGGACAAGTTATGTTGATCCATTGACCCCTAAAGTGGCGACTAAAGTTTTCAGTGGTCTAGTAGTAGCACTAAGACCTCTATCCCCTTAAGTGTCCACTAATTTGACTACTATAGTGGCCACTAAAATTTTCCAATAGGTTTTTTTTTGTTTTTTCTGTTGATTTCTCAGTGAAAATGAACGATAATCGAACATTTCTCATTCTTTTCCGAGTCAGGTACTGCTCTTTGATTTTATAAGTGGAGATTTTTCTCTGTTCCTTCTTTTTTATATGTAGATCTCAAGGTGAACAGGTTCACAAATAAAGTTCTCGAGGAGAAGTTGCTCTTTCTCTGTTCCTCAAGGTGGTGGAAAAACTATTTTTAGGATGAATTTTAGGCTTTTTTTCTGAATATTTTTCAGAAAGTTATTCATCTTTTTCACACTATAAGAAGGTTTTTTTTCATTAATTTTATCTTTTACGGACGGTTTTAGTCATGAAAATTGAATTATAACAAATATTTTTCCCAAAATTATGAGGAGAAATGAACAAATTTCGGAAAACAGAGCCGATTCCGGCCGTGTAATCCTCTTCTCCGCTCGAAAATTTCCCTTTTTTTTCCGTTCTGTATTGATTTTTTCTGTATAAATCATGGGAAGTTGTGTTTTTTGAGCACTTTCAGCGCTTCATAATTTTGCAGACTTTTTTAGTGGCCACTATAGAGGCTCGCCGGAGAGGACACTGAAGTGGTCACTAAACCCATCTCTATAGTGGCCACTATTTTCCGTTTTAGTGACCACTTCAGTAGTTTTTCATCCAGTATTCCTTCCAGTAACTCTGATAATTTCAAAACAAACAGATTGGACCAGTTATGTTGATCCATTGACCCCTAAAGTGGCCACTTTAGTGGTCTAGTAGTAGCACTTAGACCTCTATAGTGGCCACTAATTTCTAACTCCTTAAGTGGCCACTAATTTGACTACTATAGCGGCCACTTGAACGTCAAAACCCTATAGTGACCACTAGAAATTTTCCCAGGAAGTTACGGATTTTTCTCAAAACTCAGTTCTGTTTGAACGATTTCGAACCTTTTAGGAATATTTTAAAAGCGATTTTTTCATTTTCAAGGCTCCAGGGAAGCTGAAATCCTCATATTTTATTGATTTTTAGTAAAATTTTGAAAATGAGTTTATTTTCAGTTTTTCGAAATTCAAAAAACTTTTTCTCCATGATTTCTGGACCATTCTCAAAGATTTTTTACACCATTCTGACGGGAATTACTTCCTCTATCCAATTATTTAAAAAAATAAGGTATTCCCTGCATTTCAGAAGCTTGTGGGACAAAAATGGAGCGGGTAACGGTGCGCATGGCGCGATCAGACCGCCACACGCCCTGGGGCTTCGGCGTCACCGAAGACCAGGACCGGAACGTCGTCATTGTCAATGTGGGTTGATTTATGGACACAGCTCAAAAAAAGCTACCGTAGTTTTCGATTTTGTTGCGTTTTCGCTTTGAGACCCTTCGAATAATGTAAAAAACATGGGTCTAAAGGTGAAAAATGGAAAATTCACTAATGAGTGAGCGATTTTTTTGTCCAAAGAAAATTTGACAAGCCTGCGTAAAATTTCCTAAATTTTATTAAATGCGTTTGTTCCAGTAATAATACTCCATTCGAATGCTAATCAACAAAAAAATTTGAAAAAAATCAGTGAAAACACAGCCAAAAAAAAGCTACCGTAACCTGTTGATTTTTTTTGCGCTTTCGCTTCGAGACGCTAAGGCAAAAAGTGACCTTTTGCTTGAAGAAAAAAAGCTCTTTTTTTAATTTATTATGTTTCTGAGCACTAGTTTTGAGAAAAAGAGACCTTTTACAGGCCTTTTTTTCCTCCTTTTCTGAAATTATTATGATCGAAAGGAACTTTGCGATAAAAAAATTAGCGCTGGGAAGGTCTTTTTAAGATTTTTTTAGGTTTTTAGATTCTGCCCGTAATGGGTCTCAAGACGAAAATCGCACCCAAAGTTTTTTACGGTTTTTGGGTCTCAAGACGTAAATTTTTGTGTCTTGTGACCTACAGTCAATGGGTCTCAAGACGAAAATTGCACCCAAGGTTTTTTCGCGTTTTTTTAAAGCCCCTTTTAAAAACTCCACGATGAAAAAGTTGCCGTCACTATAAATTTTATGTAAGGTTGCTCTATTGATAATCTCTATGTTTCATCGTCTATCTCATTTTTTTCCTATAGATTTTTAGCATTTCTCAAACCTCAAGACCTCATTTTCCAAAGTAAACCGAGATTTTTGACGTTTCAGGGGAAATAGGATGATCAAACTGATTGACATGGAAATCCAGAATGATAAGATAACTTTTTCTTTATCGCCTGGAGATGTTCTGGAGTTCTGTCACGAACCCTTATCATTGATATCACGACACTATAGTGATAGGAAAATGTTGCAAAATTCTGCGGTTCTTTGAGCCTTTTTGAGGGGTTCAAAGTGAGGGATTTTCGATTTTTCACACAGAGTTTTGACTCAAATAAGATGGAAAAGCTTTAAAAAAATCATTTTTGAAGTTTTCATAGTTCTTCCAGAGGCTTTAGGGAAAAATGTGCTTTTTGAGATCAGTTTTAATGGTTTCAATCACGGCCAAAATTTGGTTATAATGCTACGAAATTGTTTATTTTTAAGCTTCAAAATAACGTAAAATCTTCCGAAAATCATAATTCCGTACTTATTTACACTAGGAAAACCGCGAAAAACTCGAAAATCGTTGAGAAACACGATTTATGGGCCTTTTTAGATGCCAGATGTTGTGGTTTTAACGGTGAATCCGCCGCATTTTTCGACGATTTGTTTATGGGATTCGGAAAAAAGATGGGACCTTTTTCCTTAGAGACATTTGAAAAGAAGAGATTCAAAAAGGAACTACGGACCTAAGAGCTACAGTAATCCATTTTTTGAGTTATAAGAAGGGTTTTCGTACTTTTAAAGTTTTGAAATCTGTTTAACTACCTTTTTCCTTAGAAATGGAGGGTTTTTAGTAAGATAGCAAGATATTTGTCGATGTACCAAGAGAGTCTTGAATAGTAATATTTCTGAATTTTTCAAAAAGCTAATTTTCTCAAAAATTGGAAATTTTGGCAGCTTGAAACCTTCAAGATTTATATCTATTACATCAAATAGTATTTCCCAAACCTTTCAGGGAATTTGAATTGACAAATCTTTTTATATACTTCGAAATTTCCAATTTCAAGGTGGTCGGCGGCAGCCTTGCGGACCGAGCCGGGCTCCGAAACGGTGACGTCATCGACAAACTCGAAGACTTGGGCGACCTCGACATCAACGCCGTCGATCGGCTTCTCGTCACGGCGCACGAGAAGATCGAGCTCCTCGTCCATAGGCCAGTTTTATGATTCTTCTTCTCGACCGCTTGGGCGGTGGCCCAAGTAAATGGAACAGGGTCGATTTTTTCGGCGTTTTAGTCATTTTGGTCATTTGAGTCTTCAAAAATTCATATCTCGGTTCAAAATGGTCAGAATCGGGTGAACCAAAGTTGATTCACGGTACCAGAGGGTTTTCTTCCCTTTAGGACACGCGGAAACCTCCAAGTATCCAGAGGGTTTTCGAAATATTGATTTTTTGTGTGTTTTAGTTATTTTGGTCATTTGAATCTTCACAAATTCATATCTCGGTTCAAAATGGTCAGAATCGAGTAAACTGAAGTTTATTCACGGTACCAGGGGGTCTTCTTTCCTTTAAGACCCACGGAAACATCCAAGAACCTATAGGGACCTCGAAATATCGATTTTTTTTTAGTCCTTTCAGTAATTCGGTCCTGATATCAGTGTGAATCAGTGAGCCGGTTCTAGTGACGTATCCGTCACTGTGTTCTGACCATAGCACCAAAATTTCTCAAACCCCGTCGCGGCGGGGACCGAACTTGCGACCCTGTGGACTGTAGGCAGACACACAACCTGTTGCGCTAAGGCGCGTTTTTTTGAAAGTTACCGTACTTCCCTTTGCCACTGTCACTATATAATCACAAATATCGCAAAAAAAAATCTTCACTATTTTTCACTACGAAGGTTTAGAACGAATTTTAATTGAAGTTATGATTTTATTGATTTTAAAATCTATGTTTCATTTTGAGAGACTGAAAGTTTCAATTTCACCACGGCAGAAGGAGAAAAAAAACCAATATCAAGTTTTCGAGTACTGGAGTCTGTTTTAAACATTTTGGCCGTAGTTTAAAGGCGCATGGAAAAATCTAAAAAGGTCTCAAAGCGAAGAGCCGTCTTCAGTTTAATTTTTCGGTCATGTGAGATTTTTACCCATTCAAAGACCAAGAAGATGCTTCGAAGAGACTTTATCAACGAAAAGCTCAAAACAGTTGATTCAACGCTTCTGTTCGCGACGGGAATATTTGGGTTAACGCGTAATATCCCGCGGCGCTCGGTTTTATGGTTTTATGACCGACGTTCGAGATTTCCCGAGCGTTTCGGAGTGAGAAAGACTTGCTAGCTTCACTACTGTTATCGGAAAGAATGGCTGAGTTTGAAAAAAAGTGATTAGTTAGCTTTTTAAGTTGTAAAAAAAGCATAAGTTGACTTTTTAAGCTGAAAAAAATTGACTAATTGGCTTTTAAATTGGAAAAAAAGTTGAATTTTTCGAAAGCTTCTCACTGTTTTTCAGCTAGAAAATCATTACCAAATTCAAGAAAAACCTCTAAAAAAATACAGAAAAAAATCTTACCAAATAAAAAAACAGAGTCGGAAATTTTCCAGTTCCTGAATTTAAACATGAACTCTGTAGAAAAATCACCGTACTTTTTAAATTTTTTTAAAGGAGCATGGGCAAGTTTTTTTGTTAAAGGTCTTGAGGCGAAGAGCCGTTGACAGTGTTAATATAGGTTATTTAAATGTTGAGGCGTCTGAAAAATTCAGAAAAGTTTTTTTGATAGACTTTGCCGTTCCTTTTTTTCAAAAATTAATACATGAACTCTGTAGAAAATCACCTTAATTTAAAAATTTTTTTAAAGGAGCATAGCCGAATTTGTCTAAAGGCCTCGAGGCGAAAAGCCGTATTTAGCGTTACTTCAAGTCATTTAAATCTTCGGAGTCTAAAAAAATATCAGGAATGTTTTTTAATAGACTTGTAAGAATTACGAAGAAAAAGAAAAAAATATTTGGAAAAAAATATTTTTTTGAGTTAAAATCATATAAATCGCTCAAATGACTTTTTTTAACTCGAAATTCAAGTGATATTTCTGTAATTTTGTTCGAAATAATTCGGAAATTATGTTAAAAAAAGTGGCCAAAGGTCGGGAAAAAAGAAAAAAATTTTCGAAGTTTTCATAGAAAAAATGCAAAATTATTTAAAAATGACTGATCTCAACCCCTAGTAAGCAACCATTTCCAGTGCAAGTTAACGAATTTCTCGCCTTTTCGTCGAGATTTAAATCAGGCCAACTATGCGGCAATATCGCCGTTGGGTGTTCCTTTTCCGACCCCTATTCTCGTCTTTTCCTTCTCTTTCTCTCTCCCTTTGGAACTCCAACACTTTCAAATTCATTGTTGATATCATAACTGCTTCGAATTCGACTGAAACGGCCGTGAAATGGTGCGAATTTCGACGGCGCCGCCGCTTTGGTTCGTTTTTTTGAGTCGAAAAATGATTGGAGATTATAGAAAAAAACTTTTTTTAAATGTTTATTCGCCATTCCGCAATCTGCACGACAAATACAAAAAAATAAAACATCAACGAAAAATTGATTTAATGGAGCGAAGCTTTGAAAATTTCATTTACCAGAAAATCTCCATTTTAGTTATTTTTTTATATGGTTTCATTTCGGAAAAATTGGAAAAAGTCACCTGAAAAATTTTTTTGATTAGATGAAGCTTTGAAATGAGTTATGGCCTTTTTTTCGACTGAAAAAAACGGATTTTTTTGTGAAATTTTCGATCGAAATTTCCAGATTTTTAGGTTTTTGTACATTGTATTTGCCTAATTTTGCTTCTTTTTTCTGGAATTTGATATCGCAAATTCCGATTTTACCGCTTAAAAATGTCGAGAAGCTTTTTTGAACCCCCTGAAAATGAATAAAACACGAATTTCTGTGCTTTTTTTCCTCAAAAAAATAATTTTTTTCCTTGTAAAACTGTAGTAAATTTGTATTACTAAACGTGATTATTGCAAATTTTACCCTAAAAAAAACAGTGTTTGAACCCGAAATTTTCGTATTCTTCTCAGAAAACAAGAAAAAAATTGGTACTATTTCTCTACCGAATCGCGCCGATTTTTCTGGCATTAAGATATTGATCAAATTGACCCATTAATTGCATGAAACTTGAAAAAAATGGAAAGATCTAAATCTAGAGAGCATTTCAAAAACTTCCAACTTTTTTTAGCCCCCTACGGTTAAATATTTGATGAAACTCTGGGGAAGTTTACTTCAGGACCTCCTGATTCCAGAACTAGAAAAAAATTTCCCGTAATAGATCTGGTTTTCGAGTTAGGACGCTTCAAAAAGCTTGAAATGGCGTTTTTTTGGCATAATTTGCGTCGTTGGGGGTTAAAAAAAGTAACTTGAAGCAAGATTTCTCGGGCAAATCCTGGGAAGGTGCTGGGAAAATGGCTTACACAGCCTTCCAGCAGCCTTTCAGCAGCCTGCCAGCAACCTTCCAACAACCTTCCAGCAGCCTTTCAGAGGCTTGCTGGAAGGCTTCCGACAAGATGTCCTAAAAATCTTCAAAGTACCTTCTGAACACCTTCCGAAGGCCTTCTAGCTCCCATTATCCTTCCCATCTTCTTCCGATCACCTTCCCAGAATTTGCCTGACTAGGGAACGTTTTTTTAGCCCCCAACGTTCGAACTTTTGATGGAACTGTGCTGAAATGTACTTCAGAACCTCCTGATCCCAGAACAAGAAAAAATTTCCCATAATAGATCTAGTTTTTGAGTTAAAACGCTTCACAACTCCAAAATAGCGTTTTTTTTGGTATAATTTGCGTATTTTCCTGACTTTGAAGCTTCATAAGAACTGAAAAAAGCCCCCTGTTGAGAATAAACTCATAAAATTTACAATCTACACAGAATCTTATTGACAGCAAACCAAAAAATTCCCTTTTTCCTATAAAAAAAATGTTGGTTTCCTGACTAACCTCTAGTTTATCTCCACATTCCAACGTACACGCGTAGATATTAAGGAATGCGGTTTTGCAAGCAATTTTTTTGAAGATAACGAGTCATTATCATTTTTTCTTATTTGCGTGAACATCTTCCCCATTTTGAAGCAATGTCCTCGAGGTACAGTTTTTGTTTTTTTGGAGAAAGAAAATTGGTCATAAAAATAGAGAAATTAGGCTAAAAAACTGACTCGGACCTCTGTAACGAAAACCGGACGTTTCTAGTGACCACTTTAACGGAATCAGAACTCTTAAGGGATCCCTAGGTTTGCTCAGAAACGTCCAGAGCGCATCCAGGTTCCGTTCCAAGCTGCTGGGACACTGCTAACGCAAAACAGAAGTTTCTAGTGACCACTTTAACGGAATCAGAACTCTTAAGTGATCCCTAGGTTTGTTCAGAAACGTTCGGGTCTGTTGCAAGCTGCTCTGACACTGGTAACGCGAAACGGAAAAGTCGGGGCACTTCTAGGGACCACTTTAGTGGGATTAGAACCCTTAAGTGGTCCCTAGAAACGCTTATAAACGTCCACGGTGCATCCAGGTCCCGTTTCCAAACGCTCGGACCCCCGTAATGAAAACCGAACGTTTTTAGTGACCACTTTAGGGATGTTTAGACTCTTAAGGGATCCCTAGGTTTGCTCAGAAACGTTCGGGTCTGTTGCAAGCTGCTCTGAAACTGGTAACGCGAAACGGAAAAGTCGGGGCACTTCTAGGGACCACTTTAGTAGCTTCAGAACCCTTAAGTGGTCCCTAGAAACGCTTATAAACTCCAGGGCGCATCCAGGTCCCGTTCCAAGCTGCTCGGACACTGGTAACGCGAAATGGACGTGTTGGGACATTTCTAGTGACCACTTTAGTGGGATTAGAACCCTTAAGTGGTCCCTAGAAACGCTTATAAACGTCCAGGGCGCATCCAGGTCCCGTTCCCAAACGCTCGGACCCCCGTAATGAAAACCGAACGTTTCTAGTGACCACTTTAACGGAATCAGAACCCTTAAGTGATCCCTAGGTTTGCTCAGAAACGTTCGGGTCTGTTGCAAGCTGCTCTGACACTGGTAACGCGAAACGGAAAAGTCGGGGCACTTCTAGGGACCACTTTAGTAGCTTCAGAACCCTTAAATGATCCCTAGATTTGCTCAGAAACGTCCAAACCGCGTCCGGATTCCGTTACAAGTTCTCGGACCTCTGTAACGAAAACCGGACGTTTCTAGTGACCGCTATAGTAGCGTCAGAACCCTTAAGTGATCCCTAGATTCGCTCAGACACGTTCGGGTCCCGTTCCAAGCTCTCGGACTTCGGTAGCGAAAACCGAACGTTTCTAGTGACCACTTTAGTAGCGTCAGAACCCTTAAGTGATCCCTAGATTCGCTCAGAAACCTCCAAACCTCGTCCGCGTCCCGTCCCAAGTTCTCGGACGGGAACCGGACTTTTCTGAGCATTTTTAGGGATCCCTCAAGGGTTTTGACGCTACTAAAGTGGTCACTAGAAATGGCCCGACGCGTCCGATTCACGTTACCAATGTCCGAGCTGAAATTGGCGGCCCGGCGCGTTAGCCATAGAGCGCATTTGGTCTTTTTTTCTAGTTAAATTTTTTTTTTTTCTTGTTTTTGTGAAAATTCCAAGTTTTTTAATTAATTTTGTTTCCAATCAGTGACCTTTCTATTTTTTAATTTTTAAGCTGCTGTTAGTTGACTTCCATGGAAAGATAGTTTTTTTTTCATCCAATTCAAATTTTTTCAGGAACCAATCCGGTCCTACTCGAATTTGGCGTCCCGAGGTGACCGAAAACGTCGGAGGAGGTGATGAGAGACCCTACCGAGTCAACCTTCAACACTCGAGCGATGTAGGACATTTTGAGAAAGATTTCTAACAAGGAAAAGGGTTTTTGGGGTTTTTTAGAAATTTTATCAGACTTAAGAACTCCAAAGTAGTCCCTATAGAGTCAGGGGCCCTTGGAGGATCCCTCTAGGGACCACTTTATCAACCCCATAAGGGTCACTAAAGCTTGCAAAAGTGGCCCCTTTAGAAGACGTTCTAGCCAATAATCCAAGCGAAGTAGCTTTTCCATAGGAAAAACTGAATAATCAAGGATTTTTTGGAGGAAGTTGAAACCCTATAGGGACCACTTGAGCTTTAGTGAGGGGGTCAGACCTAAAATTAGGATGGTCACTATACTTTAGGGCTTTAAGGTCTGACCCTGAAGAATAGAGTAGAGTAGGATCCTGGAAGCCTTAAAATTTCAAATTTTCAATTTTTTCAAAAAATTAGGTCGAGCCGTAAAATGCGCCATTTTTAGACTTGGAAGCCTCGTTTATCGAAAAATTGAGTATTTATAGTGACACTGAGGAAATTTAAAAAGTGGTGAGTTGAATTGAAGAAGCCACTTAAGAGTTCTTAGCGACCCTAGAGGGACCCCTTGAGCTTTGCAAAGGGGATCAGACCTTGAAACCCTATAGGGAAGGGGATCAGACCTAAAATTAGGACGGTTCCTATACTTAAAGCTTTCAGATCTGACAACCCTAGAGGGACCCCTTAAATCTGTGCGCGCTCTTCTTGTGGAAAAGATGAACTTAACCTTGCCAATTTTCGGAAAATTAGTTGCCGCGACTTGACAGTTTCTCGCGTGTCTGCGTCTCTCTGTTCTCTCACCGACGAGGTCAGAGAAACATGGAAATAGCATGGAAACTGCAGAGAGACGTCGAGAGATGAGGAGGGCGCAGAGAAAACAGAATAATGAAAATTATAGACTACAGTCTATTCGACGCGACTTGACAGTTTCTCGCGTGTCTGCGTCTCTCTGTTCCCTCACCGGTGAGGTCAGAGAAACATGGAAATAGCATGGAAACTGGAGAGAGACGACGAAAGAAAAGAGGGGCGGAGAAAAAAGAATAATGAAAGTTATAGACTACAGTCTATTCAACGCGACTTGCCAGTTTCTCTGTTCTCTCACCGACGAGGTCAGAGAAACATGGAAATAGCATGGAAACTGCAGAGAGACGTCGAGAGATGAGGAGGACGCAGAGAAAACAGAATAATGAAAGTTATAGACTACAGTCTATTCAACGCGACTTGCCAGTTTCTCTGTTCTCTCACCGACGAGGTCAGAGAAACATGGAAATAGCATGGAAACTGCAGAGAGACGTCGAGAGATGAGGAGGGCGCAGAGAAAACAGAATAATGAAAATTATAGACTACAGTCTATTCGACGCGACTTGACAGTTTCTCGCGTGTCTGCGTCTCTCTGTTCCCTCACCGGTGAGGTCAGAGAAACATGGAATTAGCATGGAAACTGGAGAGAGACGACGAAAGAAAAGAGGGGCGGAGAAAACAGAATAATGAAAGTTATAGACTACAGTCTATTCAACGCGACTTGCCAGTTTCTCTGTTCTCTCACCGACGAGGTCAGAGAAACATGGAAATAGCATGGAAACTGGAGAGAGACGACGAAAGAAAAGAGGGGCGGAGAAAACAGAATAATGAAAGTTATAGACTACAGTCTATTCAACGCGACTTGCCAGTTTCTCTGTTCTCTCACCGACGAGGTCAGAGAAACATGGAAATAGCATGGAAACTGGAGAGAGACGACGAAAGAAAAGAGAGGCGGAGAAAACAGAATAATGAAAGTTATAGACTACAGTCTATTCAACGCGACTTGCCAGTTTCTCTGTTCTCTCACCGACGAGGTCAGAGAAACATGGAAATAGCATGGAAACTGCAGAGAGACGTCGAGAGATGAGGAGGACGCAGAGAAAACAGAATAATGAAAATTATAGACTACAGTCTATTCGACGCGACTTGACAGTTTCTCGCGTGTCTGCGTCTCTCTGTTCCCTCACCGGTGAGGTCAGAGAAACATGGAAATAGCATGGAAACTGGAGAGAGACGACGAAAGAAAAGAGGGGCGGAGAAAACAGAATAATGAAAGTTATAGACTACAGTCTATTCAACGCGACTTGCCAGTTTCTCTGTTCTCTCACCGACGAGGTCAGAGAAACATGGAAATAGCATGGAAACTGCAGAGAGACGTCGAGAGATGAGGAGGACGCAGAGAAAACAGAATAATGAAAGTTATAGACTACAGTCTATTCGACGCGACTTGACAGTTTCTCGCGTGTCTGCGTCTCTCTGTTCCCTCACCGGTGAGGTCAGAGAAACATGGAAATAGCATGGAAACTGGAGAGAGACGACGAAAGAAAAGAGGGGCGGAGAAAACAGAATAATGAAAGTTATAGACTACAGTCTATTCAACGCGACTTGCCAGTTTCTCTGTTCTCTCACCGACGAGGTCAGAGAAACATGGAAATAGCATGGAAACTGCAGAGAGACGTCGAGAGATGAGGAGGGCGCAGAGAAAACAGAATAATGAAAATTATAGACTACAGTCTATTCGACGCGACTTGACAGTTTCTCGCGTGTCTGCGTCTCTCTGTTCCCTCACCGGTGAGGTCAGAGAAACATGGAATTAGCATGGAAACTGGAGAGAGACGACGAAAGAAAAGAGGGGCGGAGAAAACAGAATAATGAAAGTTATAGACTACAGTCTATTCAACGCGACTTGCCAGTTTCTCTGTTCTCTCACCGACGAGGTCAGAGAAACATGGAAATAGCATGGAAAACTGCAGAGAGACGTCGAGAGATGAGGAGGACGCAGAGAAAAACAGAATAATGAAAGTTATAGACTACAGTCTATTCAACGCGACTTGCCAGTTTCTCTGTTCTCTCACCGACGAGGTCAGAGAAACATGGAAATAGCATGGAAACTGCAGAGAGACGTCGAGAGATGAGGAGGACGCAGAGAAAACAGAATAATGAAAAATTATAGACTACAGTCTATTCGACGCGACTTGACAGTTTCTCGCGTGTCTGCGTCTCTCTGTTCCCTCACCGGTGAGGTCAGAGAAACATGGAAAATAGCATGGAAACTGGAGAGAGACGACGAAAGAAAAGAGGGGCGGAGAAAACAGAATAATGAAAGTTATAGACTACAGTCTATTCAACGCGACTTTGCCAGTTTCTCTGTTCTCTCACCGACGAGGTCAGAGAAACATGGAAATAGCATGGAAACTGCAGAGAGACGTCGAGAGATGAGGAGGACGCAGAGAAAAACAGAATAATGAAAGTTATAGACTACAGTCTATTCAACGCGACTTGCCAGTTTCTCTGTTCTCTCACCGACGAGGTCAGAGAAACATGGAAATAGCATGGAAACTGCAGAGAGACGTCGAGAGATGAGGAGGACGCAGAGAAAAACAGAATAATGAAAAATTATAGACTACAGTCTATTCGACGCGACTTGACAGTTTCTCGCGTGTCTGCGTCTCTCTGTTCCCTCACCGGTGAGGTCAGAGAAACATGGAAATAGCATGGAAACTGGAGAGAGACGACGAAAGAAAAAGAGGGGCGGAGAAAAACAGAATAATGAAAGTTATAGACTACAGTCTATTCAACGCGACTTGCCAGTTTCTCTGTTCTCTCACCGACGAGGTCAGAGAAACATGGAAATAGCATGGAAACTGCAGAGAGACGTCGAGAGATGAGGAGGACGCAGAGAAAACAGAATAATGAAAGTTATAGACTACAGTCTATTCAACGCGACTTGCCAGTTTCTCTGTTCTCTCACCGACGAGGTCAGAGAAACATGGAAATAGCATGGAAACTGCAGAGAGACGTCGAGAGATGAGGAGGACGCAGAGAAAACAGAATAATGAAAATTATAGACTACAGTCTATTCGACGCGACTTGACAGTTTCTCGCGTGTCTGCGTCTCTCTGTTCCCTCACCGGTGAGGTCAGAGAAACATGGAAATGGCACGTAAACATGAGAGGCAGAGAAGTCGCGAAAAACGGACTATTTCTCCATAGTAAAATGACCTTCCTTGTTGATTTTTTTTTCATTTTTCTCAGAATTTCATGAGCATTTCAGTCCCGACCCCCGCAAGGATTCAACAACTCGGCGCTGCCCTTCGAAACCGACCCACGGGTGAAACATCTCCAATACAACTCTCCTCTGGGCCTTTATTCCGAGAAGAGCGCCGCCGAGCAGTACAACCAGCAGACGTCCGGCTTTGTCGATCATCCGGGGTTTGGTTTTTGGATTCATACATGGGGTGGGACCTGAAAACTTGGCAAAAAAAGGGGGGGGGCCGGGCAAAAACCGTAAAAAAAATCTCCAGGGGGCTGGACGGCGCTAGTCCGATCCAATCGAACATTTATTTTGTAAAGTTCAATTGTTTGGCAGAAGGGATTTTAAGGGGGAGGCTGTTTTTAAAAGCTCATAGGGAATAGAAAAATAGAGAAAGTTCGTGTATTTAATCCTCAATGTGACATGCCGCAATTTTTTGAGCTGCTCAAGATTTTTTAAATCATTTTATGGGGTTTTAAAAGTATTTCACGTGCTCATAAGATCACTAGGGATAGAAAAATTCAAAAAAATAATGTGATTTTTTTGAAAAAGCTTCAAGAATCAGTATTTTTGTCGATGAAGCTTTTTTTTTCGATTTTTACAGCTCTTTTTTTAGTGTTTAACTTGCTTGTAACAAAAATTCATAGTATACTTTATTAAGTTTAAATTTTTTTGAATTTTTGAATTTTTAGAAGTTCGTGTGATTTCTGTTAGAAAGTTCACCTTCATAAAAATAAAACTTTCTAGCCAATTCTCTAAAAACAGAAAAAGACACATATGAGGCTTATTTTTTTAATTTTTTTCCAGCTCTTTTTTTCGTGCTTAACTTGCTTTGTAACAAAAATTTATAGTATACTTTATTAGATTCTAAATATTTATGGAGAAGGAGTTGTGACGGGAGGTTTGCAAGATTCGGGAAGAACGGGCAAAACGAGCTTCTTGATCTGCTCGGCGTAGGTTTTGGCGACGATTTTGGCCGGCTCACGGTCCGCCTCCGGAATCTTTTCCGACGTTTCTTGGAGCTGAAAAATCGGAGTTTTTATAGTCAATGTTTCCCGACTTGAAAGACGAGGGAGGCGGGGCAGGGGGCGGGACGCGTAGCGTGTGCGTTCGCGGTACTTGGCACGTGTTCAATTCAACCGCCAGCGACTCTTTGAAAAGCCCGTTTTTCGCTTTTTTCATTCCTTTTTCAACTATTTATGGATTATGTTCATGTGTGCATCAAAAAAATAGTAGAAAACATTGAAAAAGAGCGGTTGCCGAGCTTTTTGAATAGTCGCCAAGAACCGCGAACGCACACGCTACGCGTCCCGCCCCTTGCCCCGCCCCCTCGCCTTTCGAGTCGGGAAACATTGACTATATCAAGTTTGAAGTACTTTTTGAACTTGCTTCTTGAAATTTTAAATACAAAAAATGAAAAAATTGGTCTTACCAATGCCCGAGCTTCATCTGGCGACACGAAAAGCTCGCCTTTTTCGAATTTGTCAACGAAACCGACGGCGGCTTCTTTTCCCTGGAATATAGGATCATTAGGGGCTATAAGTTTTTATATTTTATTATCTGATGACTTAAGAAAATCAAAAAAATTTTTGAAAAATTTCACACCGGATACTTTTTTTCATCGATTTTTGAGTGTTTTTTTGATCAGAAAAAAATCACAAAATTTCTTCATTTTTTTCTTCATTTTTTTCAGTTAAAATATTACTTATTCTTGTCCAAAAATTTAAAAAAACTGAATTTTTCGGAAAATTATCACCCGGTGATCATATTTAGTATAGTTCCAATATCTATGTAGAAGCCTGGTTTTTTTCCAAAATGAAAAAAATTTTTATTTTTCTTTTACCTCATTTGTGGTCAATTGTGAATGGAGATTGGCCTTGAAAGTGCTGACCAAGGCCCAAAATTGAGTCTGAAACTTTATTTATAGAAAATATTCAACTTGAAGCTCTAAATTTGATCAAAATTTATAAAAGTAATTACAACTCACCCCGACAGTCCCATCACCCAAAGTCGCCAAAAAATCGTTGAATTTTTTGAGTTTCTCGGCTGCGTCGCCACTTCCAATCAGTTGCTCTTGGAGCTGAAATTGAAGTTTTAAAAAATATTATTTTCCTACAGATATATTTTCAAGTCAAGTTTAGGATTTTTGAAAAATTTTTCTAGCAAATCTTGAAAATCGTGAGAAAATGGCCTTTTTGGTACTTCAAGTGCGCCCTATTGAACTAGGGCGGTTATTGGCTGGCTAAGCCATTTTTTTATTGATTTTTTTCAATTTTTTTCACTGGAAAAAGAGTGTCGAAAAAAACGGCAATATAAGCACTATAAAAATTTTTTTCACCAGAAAAATGACTATTTGAATTTTTTTCTTATAGAGATTAGCGACAAAAAAATTCGATTTTACGATTTTATGAAGAATCGTGAGAAAATGGCCTTTTTGGTATTACAAGTGCGCCCCATTGAACTAGGACGGCTATTGGCTAATTTTTTTAAATTTTCAAATTAAAAAAATTATTTATTGAATTTTTCTTGATGAGAGTAGGGTCAAAAAAATATGAACTTTTTAAAAATTTTTAAAAAGCGGATTTTTTTCTTAAAATTTCTCCATTCTATGGATTTTTGAAGTTCAATTTATCCTGAGAATTTTTCGGGAAGTCAAAAAAGTTTCGAAAAAAAGAACCTCTTTACAATCGCCGAAAACTTCGAAATGATGGGCCCCGGCGTAACAAACTGTACCCAAAGCGAAGAAAAGCGCGAATTTCAGCATTTTTCTCTGAAAATTTTCGAAAAAAAAAAACGAGGAATAGAGATCAAAAAGAGCAAATTTTCGAGTGAAATCTAGGGTTTTATACGGTCCCCGCACGCGAATTTAATCCGCTTCTGATTGGATACTTTTATTTTCGGTTTCTTTTTTTTTTTGTGGTTTCTGTTGAATATTTGGAGTAGAACAGGGAAACGTGAACTTCCTCATAGGGGTGGGTGGGAAAAACTCGGCATTTTCAAAAGTTTTTAACAAAAAGAAAGCCGGAACTGATTTTTCAAGAAAGGAGACTTTTGTGATAATGTATAGGATTTTTTTAAATCTGGGATTACTTCAATTTAATTCATTAAAAGTTTAAAATTATCATTTCCTCTGTAAAACTTCCAGAGAGAAGCTTCAAAATAGCAATTTTACTTTTGAATTTTTTCGTCATTTTCTGGGTTCTAGACTTTTTTTCGAGAAATCATACTTCAAAAAAATGCAAGATTTTTTTAGGTTCTGGTAACTTTTAAAAAAATCATAACTAAGGCTGTAGGTTCCCTGAAATTCTAGTTTCTAGTACCGAATCGCTCAGGAAGTTACGCTGGATTCATTTAGAGCCTAAGTATCCCCAAGAGTTCAAAAAGAAACTTCTTAAATATTCGTAAATTCTCTGACGGAGCTGTACATGATTCTCCAAGAATCAATATTTCAGTATTAAATAAGTATTTTTCAGAGTGAAAACTTCTGGAGGACGCGATGAGCCGGCCTATCTTCGCAGTGAGACTCTTCGTCTGCTGAAGGAGGAGGAAAATCGCGGAGGTAATATTTTGAATGTTTTTTGGTTTTTCGAAGTTGAGATTGAAATAATTCACTTAGGAACACTAGAGTGGTCCCTTTAGAGGTAACTTTAATGACCCTTGAAGGCTCCCTTCTAAGGAACACTTTACCAATTCATATAGGGATCACTAAAGCTTGCTAAAGTGGTCCCTATAGGGGCAACTTTAATGATGATTTAGGGTTCTTTCTAAGGACCACTTTACCAACCCCTATAGGGACCACTAAAGCTTGCAACAGCGGCCTCTATAGAGAAGTCGTTCATTCTCATGAATTCTATGAGAAGAAGGCCCTTTCAAATTCATAATTTCGACCCCTATAGGGACCTCGTGAGCTTTAAGTGCCCAGGAATCACACCTTGAAGCCTTATAGGGGCTTTTTGAACTTTACCCCTAGAGGGAGCACTTATTTGTCCCTATAGGAGCTGTCTTTTCCTCCAAATCCCTGTAGGGATAACTTTGACGTCTGCTTAAGAAAGTAGCGTTTTTCAGTGGTTTATCCATCCTTGGGCTCTGCTGGGGGTTAATTTTTCTATTTTTTTGCCCCCTATAGGGACCTCGTGAGCTTTAAGTGCCCAGGAATCACACCTTGAAGCCTTATAGGGGCTTTTTGAACTTTACCCCTAGAGGGAGCACCTGTTTGTCCCCTACAGGAGCTGTCTTTTTCTCCGAACCCCTGTAGGGATCACTCTGACGTCTTCTAAAGTAGCGTTTTCAGTGGTTTATCCATCTTTGGGCTCTGCTGGGGGTTAATTTTCTATTTTTGCCCCTATAGGGACCTCGTGAGCTTTAAGTGCCCAGGAATCACACCTTGAAGCCTTATAGGGGCTTTTTGAACTTTTACCCCTAGAGGGAGCACCTGTTTGTCCCCTACAGGAGCTGTCTTTTTCTCCGAACCCCTGTAGGGATCACTCTGACGTCTTCTAAAGTAGCGTTTTTCAGTGGTTTATCCATCTTTGGGCTCTGCTGGGGGAGTGTCAAAAACATTTTTCATGTTAATGGAGGGATTTTTAAGATATTTATTAAAATCGAAAGAAATCCAAGTATTTACCATTTTTGTCAAGCATTGAGGGAGGGGGGTGAAAAAAATAAGAAAAAAAGATGAAATTTTACAAAAAAATATCTATTTCAAAAATACAATGGAATCCAAGTATTGAACATTGTCGTCAAGGAGTAGTGAGCGGGAAAAATAAGACACGTTTGCAAGTTTTGAACTGAGTTTTTCGAAAAAACCCAAGGCGATTAGAATGGTCGACCGTATCCGCCTTGTGGAGCGCCGTAGCTGCTCTGTGGGGGTCCGTAGCTGTTCTGTGGGGGTCCGTAGCTTCCGCCGTTGCCTCCGAACGAAGGAGGTCCGTTGTTGAAGCCGCCGTCGTTGAAGCCCCCGGTGAAGCCGCCGCCGCCGAGTGGAACTCCGCCGTCGAAGTTACCGCCGCCGTTGTTGATGTAGGATGGGGGGCCGTAGCCGCCACGGCGGAATCTGAAGGATTTGAGGTGTTTAGGGGAAAGTGGTTTTGTGAGAAGATTTTACGGAAATGGATCTATCATAAGTTTCTGATTTAGTTGGATTTTTTCCGGGTTCTCTTAAAAATATACTGAGAAAGGTAGTGGAAGTAATAGTATTACAATTTTCTGGAGAGAATGACTTTTGAAGTTAAATTTTCTATAGACATGAGATTAGGGGCAAAAAAAGCCGGACTTTCATGACGTACTGATTTTTTTGGATTTTTTCTGGCTATGAGAGGGTTTTTTCGTTTTTGTTTTTTGTTTTTTAAAAAAGTTTTTTTCGGGTTTTTCGGGTTTTTTAAGAGTTTGATATGGAAGTAGAGCTGAAAAAGTTCATCATGGAAAGTTTAATTTTGATAACCGAATTTTTGAGGCTGGATTTACACGCTATCCTCTGAACTTGATAACGAGAAGCCCGACGTTTCTGAGCAATTCTAGGGATCACTCAAGTGGGGTGACGCTACTAAAGTGGTCACTAGACACGTCCGATTCGCGGTACCAAGGTCAGAGAACTTGAAACGGAACCCGGACGCGCTCCGGACGTTTCTGAGCTTTCTAGGGATCACTTAAGGGTTCTGAATCCGCTAAAGTGGTCCTAGAAACGTCCGGTTTTTGTTACCGAGGTCCGAGAACTTGGAACGGGACCCGGACGTTTCTGAGCAGTTCTAGGGATCATTTAAGAGAGCTGAAGCTACTAAAGTGGTTTGTGGCGCTTAGAATCGCCAGTGATAGTTTTGACCTGGAAACTATCGAAAAGAAATTTTTTTTTTTTTATCCAAACCACCTTTTCCAGTTCAAAATAGTTTTACCAAGCTTAAAATAGAGGTTCAAAAAAGCTTTAGAGCAAAAATTGAGCCCAAAAATGTTCAAAAAAGGCGAAAAATTACCGTTTTGACCTGGAAAATATTGAAAAAAATTTTTTTTTTCGATATTTTTATTCAAATCCATATTTTTTTCTAGTTTTGAAGGATTCAACAAGCCTAAAATTGAAGTTCAAAAAAGTTTTAGAGCAAGAATGAGCTCAAAAAAACGTCCAAAAAGGCGAAAAAAATTACCGTTTTTGACCTGGAAAAATATCGAAAAAAATATTTTTTTCGATATTTTTTCTAGTTCTGAATGATTCAACAAGTTAAAATAGAGGTTCTTAAAAGTCTTAGAGCAAAATTAAGCCCAAAAACGGCGAAAAATTACCGTCCGGGCGCCGCGGAAGCCAAAGCGACGAGGACAATCGCGAAGACCACAGCGAATTTCATGTTGGAAGTAGGTTGAGATGACCATTTGTCCCGTCGACCCGGCCTTAAATAGTTGAGAAGACCTCTTTTGTCTCATCGAACTTCGTCTTCATCGCTTGGTTGGCCCCAGTGTCTGCGAATTCGTCGAGCGGTCCGAGAAATAGTGTGCGGAATCGAGAGAGTTTCTGAGTCATGCCGGGGTTTGATAGAGTGTTTGGCGTGGAAAAAGCGGCCGGAAGCAAGTTTTTGTCAAAGTTTTTTCAGCTTAGTTTTGAGAGTGACGAATAAGGGAAATGAAGTTCCGTGTTTGTGAGATCAAAGTGATATCTTTATGAAAAAAATCATTTTTTTATTCCGTTCTAAGAGCTAGTAAAAAAAGTAAATCAAGAATTTTTTTCTAGAAATCCATTTTTTTAGCTTACAAAGCTCATGAGAATTCACCGAATAAGATCTTTTCATTATCATTTTGATATTTGAAAAAAATAGAGGGGGGATCATTTTTAACACTTCAACATTTTAAAGCTCCAATTTCCCTTGTGAACCAAATCTTTCTTCAATTTCAGCTTTTGTTTCATTGATAATGGAATGGAAAAAGGCAAAAAGTCAATAATATGGGCGGAAGTCGGGAGAAAAAAAGGGCGAAAAAAATGGATAATTTTTTTCTTTGATAACTAGTTTTTCAAACTTTTTCCCAGAATTAAAATTTAAAAAAATATTTGGGTAATTTTTTTCTTTGATAACTCAAACTTTTGTCAAAAATCAAAAGTTCAAAAAAATATTTGGGCGGAAATCGGGAGAAAAAAAGGGCGAAAAAAATGGGACAAAAAAAGGGCGAGAAATGGATAATTTTCTTTTTAATAACTAGTTTTTCAAACTTTTGTCAAAATCGAAAATTCAATAATATGGGCGGAAATCGGGAGATAAAAAGGGGGTAAAAAAATCAATAATTTTTTTCAAAACCTGTATACAAATTTTTTTGCCGAAATCGTTAGTCAAGTGGTATCTACAAGAAAAAAATTTTTCAAACTCATCAAAAATCTTGGATTCGAAAACAAATTTGAAAAAGTTGGATATCCTTTTTTCAGGCCCAACGACCTTGTCGAACCATCCAAATCCGAATGGCCTTCCGGTTTGCTTCATCTGCGGCCGCCCTATTTTTGTGAGTTGGGAGCTTTTTCAGAAGGAGAAAAAAATAAAACCTTCAAAAAAAGTTTATACAATTTTTTTCAAAGCAAAAAAACTTGGGCTTCGAAAATAGATTTTTTTAGTAGATTTTTTTGTAAGATTTCATTCGGACCTGTATTCAACATATTATTTTTATTTTTTTCCTTCGAAATGACTTGTGCGCTCTATCGCAACTCCCTTCGTGACGTCAGACAATACTTTAACATTTTAAAAAGGGTCCAATGATTTTTAAATGTTGTCAGAAATTATACACACAACTCTGGCTTGTGCGCTCTATCGCACACTTTTCCGTGGACGCTTACGAAAACAGTTTTGCAGAGGAGTCATGGCCCGAGCGGCTGGACGAGACCTCCACGGCGACTGCTTGTCGTGTGCCACCTGTGGAAACTCCCTTCGCAACGTCGGACATCATTTTATCGATGGTTTATCGATTTTCCAATCTTTGGTTGAAATGAAACTAGGCCAATCCAGGCTTGGCTTCAGGCCGGCCCGGGCTTTCAAATCATTTATTTTCTTGTTTTAGTCTGATGTAATCGACTAGGCGGTGAACAAGAACTTCAAAAGCTATAACGAACAACCGCCTTTGGCGAACTAGAAGTCCAAACGTGTAGTCGAAAGAGTTGAAAGCATGGTCTTACGATCCTCTGCCTCGTCCTTCTGCGCGTAGTCCATTCAGTTGCGCCTTGACGAGCTCAAAATGTAGTGGATGGTGTAGCTGGAGCTCGGAGACCGCGCTCTAGGTGAAAGCCTCAGAATGAGAGCGACCAATTCGAGGGAAGATTTTACACGGAATGAAGATTTTACACGGAATGAAGATTTTACACGGAATCTTTGGGCTCTTGTTTTTGATAAAAACTTTGCGCGAACTCGGGCCAGGCTCATACGTCGCTCTGCCAGAATGGCGCACGGTGCCGTCTAGCCTCATGCACTTCGGTGCATAACTTGGACCTGCACCGTGCAACATCGGTGATTTTTTGGTGCCACACGGGTGCACAGAGGCGGCTGGATCCAACCCCGAGGTGCGGTCTACCCCCTCCCCCTCCCCCTCCCTCTCAAATTGCGGCCTATCTCCTTCAAATTGCGACCTACCCCCCAAAAAAATTGTGGCTTATAGGGATCTAGCCGATGTATGACCAGGCTTCTCTTCGAAATTTTTTTAACTTGTCCGGAATTTTCGAAAAAAAATAGTTCAGAAAAAACGACAAACTTTTCAGACAAGTTCTACTGCGACATTCACGGAAGCCAGAAGAAGACTGGTGGACGTCCCTCGATGGATCCCAACCTTTTTGTGTCGGTATTCAATTTTTGAAGGATTCAGTTTTTGCGCAAAAAAAAACCATTTTTTTTTCATACCAAACTGGTTTTCCTTTTTTTTTCCATGAAACTTGGTTGGACAGGGAAATGGATCCAGCTGACTTTCTTCCGTTTGATGTATCAGGAACCATTTCTAAGGAGTTTTGTCAACTGCTATCAAGAAATATAGGGCGCTGAAGGAAGTAAACTATTATTTACAGAAAATCCCCTCCCACCGCCGCTCACCCGACTCGACCCGTCGAAAGCCCCAAGGCCGCCTATCAGCCAAGTGTTCGTTGATCTCAGGTCGAAAAGTCAACCTGAAAACTTATTTTTTCAGGTTATGGCGACCCGTCCCCTCTCTGTCTCGCCGACACTGGGCGCCGGAGGCGGGACCACTGTCACCACTCATTATCACACGCCCAAGACTCAAGGCATCCTTAGGTAGTTTATGGGGACATCTATTATTGTTCCTTGAGCAGTATAGTCGAATCACGGCTTGCTTGAAAAATGAGAAAAATGGGTCCTGACACGAAAATAGAAGAGATAGTAAGTTTATGGGGACATCTTGATGCTCCTTGAGAAAAAATAGGGGGGGGGGGGTTGAACTATAACCGAATCATTGGTGGCTTCAAAAATGGGAAAAATGGGTCTTGACACGAAAGTAGAAGAGATAGTACCTGGTTGGCAGAGAGCGCAGACAGTGAGAATCTCAAGATTGCCTGGAGTGGAACCAGAGCATTCGGAAAATGAGAAAAATGGGTCCTGACACGATAATAGAAGAGATAGTACTTGTTCGGTGGAGAGCACAGACAGTGCCACGCCCTTCCACGTCCCAAGTTAACTGTGTATCGACTACGATTCGAAATGAAAAGCTAACAAAAAAATTTACCCGAGTAGGTTCAAAATTGAGAATTTGCGCTCGATTCACCTTCTCGAGGGCTTTTGAACGAGAAAAGCTGAATTTTTTTCTAGTAAGAAGAATAAAACTTGGAAAAAAACTGTTTAAACCATCTTTACGTGGTCTTAGTTTTTTTTCCGAAAAGAAATAAGCCAAGAAAATTTGCAACTAATGAAAACGGAAATTTTAGAAGTTAAAAAAATAGGGACCGCAAGCCATTTCTTCAGAACGATTCAAAAAAATATGTTTTTTTCACATTGTTCGATAGAGGAGAATGTCCATTTTCATAATCCGTTTAGTTTTTTTGAAAAAAAGCTCCACTAAGAAAAAAAGTTATGGCCAAAAAAACGAGGCGCGCGGCGTACAACTGGAGGCAAAATCTCACGGTTTACCCGCTGCCGCACGCTTTCTTTTTAAATGTTTTTGCGCGTTTCTGGACCGTTTTTAAATCGGTTTTCTGTTCTGAGAGGTTGTCCGAACTGAGCTTCATGTTTTGGTATGAATCTTTTTGTACAATCCTCATAAGAATTTTTTTGATAAAATATCAAAAAAACTACTTAGAAAAAAAGGTCAGAAGGAATTTTCAGCTTATTTTTTTCTTTTTCTCTACTCAGAAAAAAATTATTATCATTCGATTTGGAAAAAAAGAAAAAAATGAAAAAAATAATGTTAATTCGAAATAAAACAGGAAAAAAAGTGCAATTTGACTCCGAAAACCGGCTCCTGCGACATTTAAAAGGGCGCATCGGTGTGTTTGACGCAAACACTGCTACGGACACTTGCACGAAATCTTCCGAAATTTCAAAAAAAATTGCTATTTTTTCGAGGTTTTCAAAGCCGTTATTTTTTTCGCGTCGATCGATTTGTTTCATAATTTTTTCATTGGTAGAGTTTTGAACGCTTAATAACATAATCAAAAGTATAGACGCGATCCTAATCTCTCATTCGTCAACGAGGCAGGCGAAAAAAGGAGGTTTTGGTAAATCTCAAATATAATTTGATTCGCTGTCCCAATAATTATTTTTTCATTTTTGAATTTTTTTGTTTGTGAGCACATTGTGAGTTTTTTTAAATCAAATAAAAAGTATACCTTGTCGCTGAAATTTTTTCGCATTTCAGCTTCAAAGTTTGGTGTCACTTTACAAGCTTTAATATTTTTTTCGCGTCGGTAGATTTTTTTCATTTTCACTCAAAAAATAAAGAAAGTGTTAATGTATAACTAACTCAAAGTTCGGAAGCGTTCCTCACTTGGTTTTTCTGAAACGCGACGATTTTTGTGAAACTTGTCAGTTTTTTTCGTGTTAAATCTTACTTTTTTTCGCTTATTTTTTTGAAAAAAATACATAGTTTTTTTAAAAATATTCAGTCTTGTAGAGCGTTGTCGATTACATAGATTAAGAGAAACAGTTAATTTTTAAAAGTGGGACTTTAGCTAGTATAAACGCCTCAAAACCGTTTTTTTGCAACAAAAAAATCGTCATTTTGGTGGCGTGAAGGGGCGGGGCTTTGCGCCCCCTAGTTAAAAAAATCAAATAGTTACAAAACTTTGATAGAAACCGTCGCCAAATTAGGTCATTCGTGATTTTTTTAAATTCATAATCAATCAGCTGAAGTCAAATAGTCTTATTAAAGGAACATAGACAGACTTCATATAGGTCTCAAGACGAAAAGCGGGTTTCCTACAAATAATCAGCAGGGTTTTTGAGCAAAAATGGGCGAAAAAGTTCCAAAATTGAACTGAAAAAGCCCGAAATTTCAAATCCATGCTTTTTTTTTCGATTTCCGTTGGCAGCTTTTTCATAGGTCTCGAGGCGAAGAGCAAGTTACAGGGTTTTTTTCGGCCAAAAAGACTTCTGTGTCTTCAAATAACCTAATAAGAA